GACCATGGATAGCGCAGGCTAGGAAGGTGGATGATGTTGGCGGCGCTGTCAGCTTCTTTTAGCATCTCAACCCACTGTATCCTCGCATCCTCACTTTTCTCTTTCTCACTGCCTGTCCTCTGCGCTGTTCTCAGGTGGCGACTGAGGGGATGACAGCACTGCTTACCCTGTTAGCTGATGAGGCGGGTGCATAATGTGCACTCACCCAGAGAGGCATGCAGGTAGTTAGGAAGCTGTGACAAAAGTCTAACATCTACTGGGATTAAAAAGGTCAATGAAACAAAAATTGAATTAATCTTTCTTTTTCTTCGATCGTTTTGAGGTCAAACACTGATGCTGAGGCAGAGGGCCTCGACCCACTCATCCATGGTTTGATGGAGCTTTTTTGTGAGCAGGTGCTAATAAAACTAAATAAAATAAAGAAATTGAACTTTATTGATCTCACTTTGGAGAAATTTAACTCTGCATTTAACTGATCCCCCATGGGGAGCAGTGGGTGGCCATTGTTTGGCGCCCGGGGAGCAATCATGGGTGAAAAACTGTCCTCAGAGCCGTGAGCTTTAAATTCTCCAGCATGTCTTTGCTTAAAGTGGTCTGTCACTTGAACCACAATCCTCCCTCCACCAAACTTTCCCCTTGAAACACTGCAGTAAGGGAAAAAAACGTTCTTTAATAAAACCTCTTTCACCCGACTGCGGGATACATTTACACATTTATTTGCAAAGCAGAAATATGATTGTTCAGTCTATTTCAGCATCCAATATCTATATCTAAATTTTAATTTATCTCTAAATCTATAATCTATCTTTTTTAATTCAAATATATCTTTAATCTAAACGTTAAAAGTATTTGAAAAGCTAAATATATATTTTTTCTACTAAACGTTTGTATATACACTATATTGCCAAAAGTATTTGCTCACCCATCCAAATTATTGGAATCAGGTGTTCCAATCACTTCCATGGCCACAGGTGTATAAATTCAAGCACCTAGGCATGCAGACTGTTTTTACAAACATTTGTGAAAGAATGGGTCGCTCTCAGGAGCTCAGTGAATTCCAGCGTGGAACTGTGATAGGATGCCACCTGTGCAACAAATCCAGTCGTGAAATTTCCTCGCTCCTAAATATTCCACAGTCAACTGTCAGCTGTATTATAAGAAAATGGAAGTGTTTGGGAACGACAGCAACTCAGCCACGAAGTGGTAGGCCACGTAAACTGACGGAGCGGGGTCAGCGGATGCTGACGCGCATAGTGCGAAGAGGTCGTCAACTTTCTGCAGAGTCAATCACTACAGACCTCCAAACTTCATGTGGCCTTCAGATTAGCTCAAGAACAGTGCGCAGAGAGCTTCATGGAATGGGTTTCCATGGTCGAGCAGCTGCATCCAAGCCATACATCACCAAGTGCAATGCAAAGCGTCGGATGCGGTGGTGTAAAGCACGCCGCCACTGGACTCTAGAGCAGTGGAGACGCGTTCTCTGGAGTGACGAATCGCGCTTCTCCATCTGGCAATCTGATGGACGGGTCTGGGTTTGGCGGTTGCCAGGAGAACGGTACTTGTCTGACTGCATTGTGCCAAGTGTAAAGTTTGGTGGAGGGGGGATTATGGTGTGGGGTTGTTTTTCAGGAGCTGGGCTTGGCCCCTTAGTTCCAGTGAAAGGAACTCTGAATGCTTCAGCATACCAAGACATTTTGGACAATTCCATGCTCCCAACTTTGTGGGAACAGTTTGGAGCTGGCCCCTTCCTCTTCCAACATGACTGTGCACCAGTGCACAAAGCAAGGTCCATAAAGACATGGATGACAGAGTCTGGTGTGGATGAACTTGACTGGCCTGCACAGAGTCCTGACCTCAACCCGATAGAACACCTTTGGGATGAATTAGAGCGGAGACTGAGAGCCAGGCCTTCTCGTCCAACATCAGTGTGCAACCTCACAAATGCGCTTCTGGAAGAATGGTCAAAAATTCCCATAAACACACTCCTAAACCTTGTGGACAGCCTTCCCAGAAGAGTTGAAGCTGTTTTAGCTGCAAAGGGTGGACCGACGTCATATTGAACCCTATGGATTAGGAACGGGATGTCACTTAAGCTCATATGTGAGTCAAGGCAGGTGAGCAAATACTTTTGGCAATATAGTGTATCTCAATTCTTCAATTTTAATCAATACATTTTTGATTTTATATCTGATCTAAAAATTGCAGCTTTTACTTTGAAATAAAGTATTTCTGCTGATGCATCAAAACATAAATTTTGGAAAGATTTCGCTGGATTATCTTTATTTAAATGTCAAGCTTTCCTTACTTAAAGGTATTGTGGACGATTTTTGAAATTTTTTTTTAAAGACCCGCCCTCACCACTTAAAAAAAAATACATGTGCGAGAGCGTGCACGAGTCCATTTCTCCTCGTGCACGCTCTGTTTAAAGGTTGCTGTTTTTATAGCTCATTCAAGCTCACTGTGTCCAACCGTCCACCCTAACCCCTAAATCCCTCCATCACTATAGAGCAGGGACTATAAAGTGAACTTTATAGTGAACTCAGTTAACTGACCGTTCAGACACATGATCACTGCTTTTTGCTGCCTGATGCCTGCGCCATCTTTGTTATTAATCTCCGCTGTCGGATAGCGACAGCGGGCCGCTGTGACAGCAAATTCCATAATGCTTTGTGAGGACAGCTCTCCAGCAAAACATTTTGGGAATTATCTGCCTCTTCTGATGCCTTTCTTTTTTTCTCATACACTTCTTAGAAACTTTTTCTCTTCCGACCCTCGGCCATTTTCAAAGAACCGCGGTGAGAAAGGTGAGCTTCAATGACCGTCTGAAACCGTAGCTCACCACAGATAAACGCCTGAAAGAAAAAGATAGCTAATGGGACGAGAACGTAGGACGGCCTTACGGAAACATCACCAGGATGATTGACAGTTAGGAGGACCATTGCTTGAGATGACTTTTTGCTTGGAGAGTTTTTAAAAAAATTAGATGTAAAATGTTGCTCTATTAAAGAGGTTAAAGTTTTTAATGATGCTGCCACCTGTGGCCAAAACAGAGAACTGCGGCAGTCTTCTGCTCGTTATTCTACATGACAATTTCTTTTTTTTTACTTTTCCACCTTACATGGAGTTGCAGGTGGCGCTTGAAAATAACGTGTCGCTTTGCTAGGTCAGACCCGTTGAACAAAGATACGCTTACCCTCTGCCGATGCGCGGGAAATTTAGACCTGAAGTATATGAAGAAAAATTTGCTACAGGCTGATGGATGCATCAGCACTGATTTACTGAGGCGTCAGTCTAATCATCTACTTAAGGAAGTAAAATGTAGTTTGGATTTTTTTTTTTCTATTCAGGTAATGCATCTTTATTTTAAGAACTGGAAAAACATTTCTATTGATCTAATTTAATCTAATTTAGTGTTCAAAGCTCCATTTTAGCCCAAATCAAGGAGAGAAAAAAACTTAGGAAAAATTTATTTAATTGTGTTTCCTTTTCTTGCAGTGAGAAATATGTTTGTTGTAGAGCAGTGAGGAGAATAGTCCTTCCTGTAAAGGCTCCATTTTTTCGTCTGATAAAAATAGAAGAGAAAAGCTGTTGAAGTTACAGGAGAGACGAAGCAAATTAATTTGGTAAAGAACCATAAAAAAAGATTACCTAACATTTATGTTCCTTTCCACTTTAGTTTTGTTGCCATTTAGACACAATATTGACAAATGAAGTATAATCATGTTTATTTTTAGACTTTAGTTTGCAGAATAAACAATAATACAGGCCCCTCTATGGAGTCGATTTTGTCCCATGTTGGTTTTAATCAGAGAACACGGTTTGTAAATGAAATCTGAATAAAAGGAATCCAGAAATAAAACTTTGAAATAATGATTTTTCAGATTTAACTGTTTCAAGCTTTTTTTTTTAACAAATGTTTTTATAATTTTTATGACAATTCTTTTTCTAATTTCTCTTTGTCAAATTGCCTTCTTTTCACATTGCATTTTACATTTTCAAAATGTTATTCCTGGATTTCCTTTGTTTATTTCATTTAAAAAGCATGTTCTCTGCAACAATAATGGAACAAAATTTATTTTTCCTTATTTTCTTTAAGGTTTATTTTGCATGTTTGCATAAAACCCCAGACAGCCTCAGCAACCAGGCTGTGAGCCTAAGAGGAGATGACAGAGAGAGAGAGAGAGAGAGAGAGAGAGAGAGAGAGAGAGAGAGAGAGAGGGATTACCGGCGCTGTGAGCTCCACTGATGGGCGAGACGGGATCTGCACAGGAGGAGATGAACGTTGCTGAGTGTTTGTGTGTGAGGATGTCAGCAAATAAACCCCGGAGGAGGGGGGGAGGCAGGAGAGAGAGAGAGAAGCATGCACAGCTGAGTAGAGCAGGACTATACATAGATGCAGTAAAGATAGTGAAGCGTAGGCAGACCTGTAGTGGCAGCATGGAGACAGATCCTCCAAATCTCTTCTCAGCGTCAGTCTGGACTAACCATGGAAATCCTTTCAAACATCACTGGTCCACCAAAGGAATCAAACTTTTTTGGATCTGATCGGGGAAAGTTGTCGATGGGAACGCTTAACAGAGGAGCTTTGAAGAAGGATGAGCTGAAGTCAGAGGAGACCGCGTGCAAACGATGCCCCAAGTGATCCAGCGTCACACGTAGCCATGCCTCTCACTACCTTCAACCAATCAGAATCGAGCCTTGAACGGCACGCTGTGGGCCAACCTCAATGATGGAAGCAAAGAGGTTGGATTTTAAAACAGAGAACACCATAAAAACGGACACGGTGAAGATGCTTCTTCTTCCTTTGGATCGGCTAAATGTTCAAACTAAAAATCTAGAAATCTTTTGATTTTGGCCAAAAAGGAAAAATGAACTTAAATCAATGTTTAAGCAGCTGATTGAACCCATACCGCTCCGATTCGAGGGTCCGGTCGCTGTGAGATTGTCTTAGCTGTGGAATCTGACGTCTCTGTGGTTTGCTGGCTGAACAGACCCTGCATGCTCGGACGGATGCTATGCTGAGGGGGTCGGCTGTTGCTCCAGCCCCACCAGGCCACAAGTGGCACTTTCACTGTTCTGTTGGGGTGGACTGCAGCAACCCTGAACCTCGCTGCATTTGGCTGGCAGTTCTCCGGGGCGTCTCCGCTAACAGTCCCTCCCTTCCAGCACCAGTCACACCAACAAGAAGATCCAGGATTATAAATCGCCATCGCTTGTCTTGGGTAATAGAGCTTGCGAATTTTCAGTCAAATCATAACAAGAAGCTAACAGAGGGTCCAATGTCCACTCAGGCAGTTTGTTTTTGGTTTCTCTAAACAAAACGAGAAACAAAACTAAGCGCTAATGTTAGAACATTCGGTGAACAAGCAGACTGACCTGAAGTTCCTCCTGTTCACCATATAAAAAATGCAAATAGTTTTTTGTTGTTTTTTCAGGATTTGTGGCTTGTTTTTTATGAAAAGTTGACAGGAAAGGTTGTACAAGAGAGGGGAAAGACATGCAGTAAAGGTCGGATTCGAACCCGGGTCGGCCATATTTAGGGCTAAGGCCTCCATACATGGGTAGTTCCCCCTAACCACTGTGCCCCTGAAGCACCCCTTTCATTCTGACTTTGTTTTGTTTGACCTTGTCTTATTCCTCATCCAAAACACTCAGGTTATCCTGAGCCATCTCTATAGTTATGCTGCTATAGGCTTAGACTGCTGGAGGACATAGGGAACCTTTTTTCATCAAAGTCGGTAAAGCAAAGTCATTGCTTTACCTGCTTGCCTTTTGTAGATTCAATCTTCCCATCCTGGTGAGGTCTATACTTTTCTTCCTGTTGTCTTTTGATGGCTCTTTGTTGGAGTTTGTTGTGAGATTGACAGCAGAGGTAGTCCTGGTTCATTGGTTAACTTCTTCTGGTTGTTGCTGATAGAAGTGGTGCTGCTGCTGTTGATGATGGCATTGTTGGAGTTGTTGGTGGGGTTTTTTTTGTTGCTTTTGTTGCAGCGTTAGAAGTTGGACTCTTTGTTGTCATGGTCCTTGGTCTGTCGTTATTTGGAGATGTTTCTTATTTCAATGCAAACAATTTACATCTTACCACACCTTATAGTGTTACATTTAGCCAAGTTTGATTGATATACTGAGAAGTAGCAGATTCTGGGCGTGCTTCAGTGGCGCAGTTGTCATGCTTCAAGGTCTGGTTATCCTCCTTCAGCAGTGTGTCACAGTGAGCTCCTCGCAAATATTTTTGATTTCTGCCCAATATTGAAGAGTGGTCTGCGCTATGTTACTCCATGCCACAACGCCAGAGGGCCAATCAGGAACTAGCTGTGGGTCTAGATACGGCCGAAGCGGCGAGGAATTGGAGGCAAGTTTGTGCGACAACGGAGGGACATGAGGGCCAAAAAGAGCGGGTATCCAGGTGGAAAAAGGGTCCTAGCGTTCTTACCCACCTCGCGCTTCTAGCTGGTCCAACTTACCGAGTCGTTTTCCACAATGGCGGTCATACAAACGAAACAAGCCGGAAAGGTACCAAACAGGAAATACGCATATTTCCTGTTTCCTCGGACACGTAACGAGGAGTCCTCCAATCTGAACAGACCTCGGCGCCGTGCTATGATGTAATCGGCTGACGAATCTGGAGGACGCAGCCACTGAATTAGAGCTCAGCAAATGTGATCTGGAAAACACAATTTGAAAAGCATGCAATTTGCAACTATATCTGAAAATGAGAAATTTTAGCAAGGTTTTGGAAATATAAAATCTGTGATGAAATTAATAAAGTTTTTTAATAATTTTTTTTTGTTTTGTTCCATTCCTTAATTTTTTCCCCAAAAAACAACCATAATATTTTCATCAAACAATAATGGAAAAAATTGATTTTGTTATTTGACAGCGATAGTGATGTAGCAAAGGGGTCAGAGTGTTTAACTAAAGGCCGGCATAGACTGTACATTTTTAACCTAGTTTTAGCCTCATTGTGCGTTACGGGGGGTGATTAACTGCTCACAAGCTCCTCCGGATCAGGAGTCATACAGTTAGTTTCCAAACAAACATGTTTGAAATTCAGTCGGCCCTTGTGTGGTGATGGTGATGTGATGGTGAGCGGATCCTACCGTTGAATCGGGGTGAGTATTGGCATGGGTGTTACAATATGATACGTGCTACGATACTCCGCGATACAATATTATCACGATATTGCAATATTGCTATATATTGTGATATTTTTGTACAGATAAAAGAGCAAGTGCTGTATATTTTCATCAGAAGATATTGATCATTTTGTTATTTTGGTCCTCGTCTTCCACTGTGACTGCCTGATCTACAGATACGGTGCGGCACCGCACAGTAAAAGGGCTCCACGGCGCCATCTGTGTTGGTACAGAGGTAGCTGATTGTCCCTCGCTGTTTTAGGTAAATATTTTTTTAATCGATATTAAAAACTGAAAAAACGATATTATATCAGGCAGCCAAAAATCATCATAATTTATCATATTTCGCCAAATTGTTTTTTTTTTCACACCCCTACGAACTACGAGCTGACTTACCTCAACCTTGCAAGCTACACATGTACAAAGGGAATTCTTCTTCTTCTCTGACTTTACCTCAGGATATACATCATCTCTCTACGGGGTCAGATGTGTGGCTTTTAGTCGTACAGGTTGAGCAGTCAGATCTCATCAGAGGATCGGGCCGCACGGAGGAAGAAAGTATCGTGACCTGTGACCTTTTAAATCATTTATCGTACAGTTTGAGCTGTAGCTGAGAGCAACATGTCGTACATGGTGTGCTCGCCCTAAAGCTGAGCAGAACTGTGGCACAGCATTGGTTCTCGGCCAAAACAGTGATATTATCATCGGATAGCTACCGGCCCAAATGTTTACATATCCCTTTCTGGTGAGGTGCTTTAAATGATGGAATCGATCCGATCATCCAGACGGATTGATTTAAACGTTTCTTAGGAAATTCAGACATTGCCTTATACTCAATCACTGTGCCTGAGTATTTCTGTTTTTGTAATGAGGTTATTTCCTTTACATTTATAATATTGATTCAGATATTTATGGTTCTGGTTTGTCTGTTGTAACTAATTGTAGTTGGTAGGGATTTTTGAGCCTCTTCATTCCCATTTCCCTTATACCGGTACTTTACCACTGGAACCCACAGACTACTCTATTCTGCTCAGTTCTACTCTATTCTGCTCTGTTCTACTCTATTCTGCTCTGTTCTACTCTATTCTGCTCTGTTCTACTCTATTCTGCTCTGTTCTACTCTATTCTGCTCTGTTCTACTCTATTCTGCTCTGTTCTGCTTTGTTCTAATCTATTCTGCTCTGTTCTACTCTATTCTGCTTTGTTCTAATCTATTCTGCTCTGTTCTACTCTATTCTGCTCAGTTCTACTCTATTCTGCTCTGTTCTACTCTATTCTGCTCTGTTCTACTCTATTCTGCTCTGTTCTACTCTATTCTGCTCTGTTCTACTCTACTCTGCTTTGTTCTACTCTATTCTGCTCTGTTCTACTCTATTCTGCTCTGTTCTACTCTATTCTGCTCTGTTCTACTCTATTCTGCTTTGTTCTACTCTATTCTGCTCTGTTCTACTCTACTCTGCTTTGTTCTACTCTATTCTGCTCTGTTCTACTCTATTCTGCTCTGTTCTACTCTATTCTGCTCTGTTCTACTCTATTCTACTCTGTTCTACTCTATTCTGCTCTGTTCTACTCTATTCTGCTATGTTCTACTCTGTTCTGCTATGTTCTACTCTGTTCTGCTTTGTTCTAATCTGTTCTGCTTTGTTCTAATCTATTCTGCTCTGTTCTACTCTATTCTGCTCTGTTCTACTCTATTCTACTCTGTTCTAATCCATTCTGCTCTGTTCTACTCTATTCTACTCTATTCTGCTTTGTTCTAATCTATTCTGCTCTGTTCTACTCTATTCTGCTCTATTCTGCTCTATTCTACTCTATTCTGCTCTGTTCTAATCTATTCTGCTCTGTTCTACTCTATTCTGCTTTGTTCTACTCTATTCTGCTATGTTCTACTCTATTCTGCTCTGTTCTACTCTATTCTGCTCTGTTCTACTCTATTCTGCTCTGTTCTGCTTTGTTCTAATCTATTCTGCTCTGTTCTACTCTATTCTGCTCTATTCTACTCTATTCTGCTCTGTTCTAATCTATTCTGCTCTGTTCTACTCTATTCTGCTTTGTTCTACTCTATTCTGCTGTGTTCTAATCTATTCTGCTCTGTTCTACTCTATTCTGCTCTGTTCTACTCTATTCTACTCTGTTCTAATATATTCTGCTCTGTTCTACTCTATTCTGCTTTGTTCTAATCTATTCTGCTTTGTTCTAATCTATTCTTCTCTGTTCTAATCCATTCTGCTCTGTTCTACTCTATTCTACTCTGTTCTACTCTATTCTGCTCTGTTCTACTCTATTCTGCTCTGTTCTACTCTATTCTGCTCTGTTCTACTCTATTCTACTCTGTTCTACTCTATTCTGCTCTGTTCTACTCTATTCTGCTCTGTTCTACTCTATTCTACTCTGTTCTGCTCTGTTCCACTCTATTCTGCTCTGTTCTACTCTATTCTGCTCTGTTCTACTCTATTCTGCTCTGTTCTACTCTATTCTGCTCTGTTCTACTCTATTCTGCTCTGTTCTACTCTATTCTACTCTGTTCTACTCTATTCTGCTTTGTTCTACTCTTTTCTGCTCTGTTCTAATCCATTCTGCTCTGTTCTACTCTATTCTACTCTGTTCTACTCTATTCTGCTTTGTTCTACTCTATTCTACTCTATTCTACTCTGTTCTACTCTATTCTGCTCTGTTCTACTCTATTCTGCTCTGTTCTACTCTATTCTGCTCTGTTCTACTCTATTCTACTCTGTTCTACTCTATTCTACTCTGTTCTACTCTATTCTGCTCTGTTCTACTCTATTCTACTCTGTTCTACTCTATTCTGCTTTGTTCTACTCTTTTCTGCTCTGTTCTAATCCATTCTGCTCTGTTCTACTCTATTCTACTCTGTTCTACTCTATTCTGCTTTGTTCTACTCTATTCTACTCTGTTCTACTCTATTCTACTCTGTTCTACTCTATTCTGCTCTGTTCTACTCTATTCTGCTCTGTTCTACTCTATTCTGCTCTGTTATACTCTATTCTACTCTGTTCTACTCTATTCTACTCTGTTCTACTCTATTCTGCTTTGTTCTACTCTATTCTGCTCTGTTCTACTCTATTCTGCTTTGTTCTACTCTATTCTGCTCTGTTCTACTCTATTCTGCTTTGTTCTACTCTATTCTGCTCTGTTCTAATCCATTCTGCTCTGTTCTACTCTATTCTACTCTGTTCTACTCTATTCTGCTTTGTTCTACTCTATTCTGCTCTGTTCTAATCCATTCTGCTCTGTTCTACTCTATTCTACTCTGTTCTACTCTATTCTGCTTTGTTCTACTCTATTCTGCTCTGTTCTAATCCATTCTGCTTTGTTCTACTCTATTCTGCTGTGTTCTAATCTATTCTGCTCTGTTCTACTCTATTCTGCTCTGTTCTACTCTATTCTACTCTGTTCTAATCTATTCTGCTCTGTTCTACTCTATTCTGCTTTGTTCTACTCTATTCTACTCTGTTCTACTCTATTCTGCTTTGTTCTACTCTATTCTGCTCTGTTCTAATCCATTCTGCTTTGTTCTACTCTATTCTGCTGTGTTCTAATCTATTCTGCTCTGTTCTACTCTATTCTGCTCTGTTCTACTCTATTCTACTCTGTTCTAATCTATTCTGCTCTGTTCTACTCTATTCTGCTTTGTTCTAATCTATTCTTCTCTGTTCTAATCCATTCTGCTCTGTTCTACTCTATTCTACTCTGTTCTACTCTATTCTGCTCTGTTCTACTCTATTCTGCTCTGTTCTACTCTATTCTGCTCTGTTCTACTCTATTCTGCTCTGTTCTACTCTATTCTGCTCTGTTCTACTCTATTCTGCTCTGTTCTACTCTATTCTGCTTTGTTCTACTCTATTCTGCTCTGTTCTACTCTATTCTGCTTTGTTCTACTCTTTTCTGCTCTGTTCTAATCCATTCTGCTCTGTTCTACTCTATTCTACTCTGTTCTACTCTATTCTGCTTTGTTCTACTCTATTCTGCTCTGTTCTAATCCATTCTGCTCTGTTCTACTCTATTCTACTCTGTTCTACTCTATTCTGCTCTGTTCTACTCTATTCTACTCTGTTCTACTCTATTCTGCTTTGTTCTAATCTATTCTGCTCTGTTCTACTCTATTCTGCTCTGTTCTACTCTATTCTGCTCTGTTCTACTCTATTCTACTCCGTTCTAATCTATTCTGCTCTGTTCTACTCTATTCTACTCTGTTCTACTCTATTCTACTCTGTTCTGCTCTGTTCTACTCTATTCTACTCTGTTCTACTCTATTCTGCTCTGTTCTACTCTATTCTGCTCTGTCCAACTCTATTCTGCTTTGTTCTACTCTATTCTGCTCTGTTCTAATCCATTCTGCTCTGTTCTACTCTATTCTACTCTGTTCTACTCTATTCTACTCTGTTCTACTCTATTCTGCTCTGTTCTACTCTATTCTACTCTGTTCTACTCTATTCTGCTTTGTTCTAATCTATTCTGCTCTGTTCTACTCTATTCTGCTCTGTTCTACTCTATTCTGCTCTGTTCTACTCTATTCTGCTCTGTTCTACTCTATTATACTCCGTTCTAATCTATTCTGCTCTGTTCTACTCTATTCTACTCTGTTCTACTCTATTCTGCTCTGTTCTACTCTGTTCTGCTTTGTTCTAATCTATTCTTCTCTGTTCTAATCCATTCTGCTCTGTTCTACTCTATTCTACTCTGTTCTACTCTATTCTACTCTGTTCTACTCTATTCTACTCTATTCTACTCTGTTCTACTCTATTCTACTCTGTTTTAATCTATTCTTCTCTGTTCTAATCCATTCTGCTCTGTTCTACTCTATTCTACTCTGTTCTACTCTATTCTACTCTGTTCTACTCTATTCTACTCTGTTCTACTCTATTCTACTCTGTTCTACTCTATTCTACTCTATTCTACTCTGTTCTACTCTGTTCTGCTTTGTTCTAATCTATTCTTCTTTGTTCTAATCCATTCTGCTCTGTTCTACTCTATTCTACTCTGTTCTACTCTATTCTACTCTGTTCTACTATATTCTACTCTGTTCTTCTCTGTTCTACTCTGTTCTGCTTTGTTCTAATCTATTCTTCTCTGTTCTAATCCATTCTGCTCTGTTCTACTCTATTCTACTCTGTTCTACTCTATTCTACTCTATTCTAATCTGTTCTACTCTATTCTACTCTGTTCTAATCTATTCTTCTCTGTTCTAATCCATTCTGCTCTGTTCTACTCTATTCTACTCTGTTCTACTCTATTCTACTCTGTTCTACTCTATTCTACTCTGTTCTACTCTATTCTACTCTATTCTACTCTGTTCTACTCTATTCTACTCTGTTCTACTCTATTCTGCTCTGTTCTACTCTATTCTGCTCTGTTCTACTCTATTCTGCTCTGTTCTACTCTATTCTACTCTGTTCTACTCTATTCTGCTCTGTTCTACTCTTTTCTGCTTTGTTCTAATCTATTCTTCTCTGTTCTAATCCATTCTGCTCTGTTCTACTCTATTCTACTCTGTTCTACTCTATTCTACTCTGTTCTACTCTATTCTACTCTATTCTACTCTGTTCTACTCTATTCTACTCTGTTTTAATCTATTCTTCTCTGTTCTAATCCATTCTGCTCTGTTCTACTCTATTCTACTCTGTTCTACTCTATTCTGCTTTGTTCTAATCTATTCTGCTCTGTTCTACTCTATTCTGCTCTGTTCTACTCTATTCTGCTCTGTTCTACTCTATTCTACTCCGTTCTAATCTATTCTGCTCTGTTCTACTCTATTCTACTCTGTTCTACTCTATTCTACTCTGTTCTGCTCTGTTCTACTCTATTCTACTCTGTTCTACTCTATTCTGCTCTGTTCTACTCTATTCTGCTCTGTCCAACTCTATTCTGCTTTGTTCTACTCTATTCTGCTCTGTTCTAATCCATTCTGCTCTGTTCTACTCTATTCTACTCTGTTCTACTCTATTCTGCTCTGTTCTACTCTATTCTGCTCTGTTCTACTCTATTCTGCTTTGTTCTAATCTATTCTGCTCTGTTCTACTCTATTCTGCTCTGTTCTACTCTATTCTGCTCTGTTCTACTCTATTCTGCTCTGTTCTACTCTATTCTGCTCTGTTCTACTCTATTATACTCCGTTCTAATCTATTCTGCTCTGTTCTACTCTATTCTACTCTGTTCTACTCTATTCTGCTCTGTTCTACTCTGTTCTGCTTTGTTCTAATCTATTCTTCTCTGTTCTAATCCATTCTGCTCTGTTCTACTCTATTCTACTCTGTTCTACTCTATTCTACTCTGTTCTACTCTATTCTACTCTATTCTACTCTGTTCTACTCTATTCTACTCTGTTTTAATCTATTCTTCTCTGTTCTAATCCATTCTGCTCTGTTCTACTCTATTCTACTCTGTTCTACTCTATTCTACTCTGTTCTACTCTATTCTACTCTATTCTACTCTGTTCTACTCTATTCTACTCTGTTCTACTCTATTCTACTCTATTCTACTCTGTTCTACTCTGTTCTGCTTTGTTCTAATCTATTCTTCTCTGTTCTAATCCATTCTGCTCTGTTCTACTCTATTCTACTCTGTTCTACTCTATTCTACTCTGTTCTACTATATTCTACTCTGTTCTTCTCTGTTCTACTCTGTTCTGCTTTGTTCTAATCTATTCTTCTCTGTTCTAATCCATTCTGCTCTGTTCTACTCTATTCTACTCTGTTCTACTCTATTCTACTCTATTCTACTCTGTTCTACTCTATTCTACTCTGTTCTAATCTATTCTTCTCTGTTCTAATCCATTCTGCTCTGTTCTACTCTATTCTACTCTGTTCTACTCTATTCTACTCTGTTCTACTCTATTCTACTCTGTTCTACTCTATTCTACTCTATTCTACTCTGTTCTACTCTATTCTACTCTGTTCTAATCTATTCTTCTCTGTTCTAATCCATTCTGCTCTGTTCTACTCTATTCTGCTCTTTTGGTGAATTCAGGCATAGCAGCAGCAAAGGAACAGGTGAAATTGAAGCAGCAGATTCACAAAGATAAAATAAATGACAGCGATGGGCAGACAGCACGCTGTGGGTAAAATTATAACAATTACAGGATAAATGCTGAAAATCTGTCAAATCTGTAAAACTCCCCCTCCATCAGAAAATCAGCCTCTTCCTAAATTCTTCTTCTCTGTTTGTTTCCCATTGTGTGCTCTAGTTCCATAAATAGACGTATTATAGAATGAGTTGCTGGCTGGATGCAGTAAATGTGACATCAGGGAGATTTTCAGAGGGAGATGTATATGGGTGGAGGTTGTGACCCAATCCGATCCGATAGAATCATCACTCAGTGAGAGTCCTCCCACTCCCAGCTACTCACTCTAGAGTTGCATTTCTAGGATGTGACTAAAGAGGATAAGTTTATCTTCTGATTGTTTGTATTAGAACCAGTAGAAACATCCATGTTGAAAATCTTGTTCTCCATCTCTGTTCTTTACAGGCTAGAAGCCGGAACGATGGGATGGTGTCACCGGATAAAAACAGGTGTAACCTGCCGCCGTCCGGTGAGGTGGAGGCCGTGCCATCGAAGGGTCCGCGGACCGTCGTTCTCCAAAAGAACTCGCAGGGTTTCGGCTTCACTCTGCGCCACTTCATTGTGTACCCACCAGAGTCGGCCCTCCAGAGCCTCAAGGTAACTGAGGGCCCCGGTAGGTTATGTTGGTATGGATGTCCCCGTGGTTATAGCAAAATATTAAGCTCACTAAACTATAATGTGTTAAAGGATGATAATGTATTTCCTAAGAAAATGAATGCAGTTAAATTCTTTCTGTTTCATCACTGCTCCTGAGCTGTACAGGAAATGGGATCCAGGAGCTAATTTTTTCAGCTTTGGATTTAAACATAAATCTAGTCTTTTTGAGTTTTCAGTTTTTCCTTTCATGTTAACATTATGGTATATAGTGTGTAACCGAAAGAAAAAAACAACTAAATTGCAGATAAACATGGTTTAATCAGATTTACCTGGACTGCTCCGAGTATGCACCATGATAACATCAGAGAAGCAGTTCAACGGAGAAAATGTAAAAAGCATCAAATTGTCTCAGAAAAGTTATTATTAAATATAAAAGTTAGCATTATTTTTTTTACTCATAGTTTAGCATTCTTTAGTAATTTTAAGACAGATAGATAAATTCTCACAGAGCTGAGAATTTATATTTAAATACAGCAGCAGCCATTAATAATTGGTCCATCCCAGTCAAAAGCCAGCCGAATAGACGCGAAATTCCCTCCACCTTCGAGTCTCTGCAGTGACTCCACCCTTTCACTAATTTACAGGGTCTGACCAGGAGATGTTGTTTCTCTCTAGATCTTAATGTCCACAAATCATGACAGAAAGAATATTTTAAATATTTAAAAAGGAATTGTAGGGGACCAGCCAAAGACTAGCCAAGGACTAGCCAAGAACCAGCTAAGGGCCAACTAAGGGCCAGCCAAGGACAAACCAAGGACCAGCTAAGGGCCAGCCAAGGACCAGCCAAAGACTAGCCAAGGGCCAGCCAAGAACCAGCCAAGGACCAGCCAAGGACTAGCCAAGAACCAGCTAAGGGCCAACCAAGGGCCAGCCAAGGACAAACCAAGGACCAGCCAAGAACCAGCTAAGGGCCAGCCAAGAACCAGCCAAGGATCAGCCAAAGACTAGCCAAGGGCCAGCCAAGAACCAGCCAAGGACCAGCCAAGGACCAGCCAAGAACCAGCCAAGGACCAGCCGAAGACTAGCCAAGGACCAGCCAAGGACCAGCCAAAGACTAGCCAAAACCAGACAATAACCAGCCAAGGACCAGCCAAGGACTAGCCAAGGAGCAGCCAAGGATCAGCCAAAGACTAGCCAAAGACCAGCCAAGAACCAGCCAAGAACCAGCCAAGGACCAGCCGAAGACTAGCCAAGGACTAGCCAAGGACCAGCCAAGAACCAGCCAAGGACCAGCCAAAGACTAGCCAAAGACCAGCCAAGGACCAGCCAAAGACCAGCCAAGGACCAGCCAATGACCAGCCAAGAACCAGCCAAGGACCAGCCAAGAATCAGCCAAGGACCAGCCAAGGACCAGCCAAAGACCAGCCAAGGACCAGCCAAGAACCAGCCAAGGACCAGCCAAGAATCAGCCAAAGACCAGCCAAGGACCAGCCAAGAACCAGCCAAGGACCAGCCAAGAATCAGCCAAGGACCAGCCAAGGACCAGCCAAGAACCCATCAAGGAAAGTGGGGAAATTTTGAATGGCTACCAACCAGACGAGGCATCAGGACAACTCTATAGTCTTTTGAGGGTTAACATCAACTAAGCTCTAGTAGATGTTTAGCAGGATGATTACGTTAAATACCTGTCATCATGTAAACACATCGTCCACCAGCAGACCTGCCAACCCCCCCGTCCCAGTGAAGAAGATGAGCCACATCTTCATGGACAGGAAATGATCATCATTCTATGTGATTTTCAATATTTTTACTACTTTTAAAACTTAAAGCTACAGTGTGTAATAATTACAAGGATATAGAGTCAGAAATTGAATATATTATACATAAATATGTTATTTATCATCACCTATGAGCTCAGCCTTTTAACCATAATATTTGCGTTGCCTTAGAATTCGTTATTTATAATTACATAGGAGCGGGTCTCGCAGCCATGGAGGCAGACATCTTTGCGCTACGGCAAGCGCAGAGGCAACAAACTAGCGATTGCGAGATCGCCCATTACGCTCGAAAGTAACTACAGCAAGTTGAGAGAGATGAACTGAGACGGTACTGAACAGTAGATGGCAGTATTATGCCTGAGAAGCGTTTAGTCTGCCTGAAACCAAAGAAGAAGAAGAAGCAGGTATACATCGCTTCAGTAACAAGAAAGGTAAACAAGGCGGCAGGCGTGAGTGACTTTGCAAACTGTTTGGCCAAACATCAGACGAATGGAGGATCATGCCTACTCTGTATCACAACGAAAAGCGGCGGACACCGAACCCCCGTCATCTAAGAAGCGGAAACACGACGAGAATAAACGCAAGCGTGACAAGAAATGGCAAAAAACACGGATCAACATTGGCACGGCATTTACACGATGGAAGTCACTGATGGAGGAAAAAGGTTTTCAAAGTGACGCTCAAGTTGCCAGTTTTCTGTTGGACAGGTAATTAATCCTACACACACAATTGTCTTTTTATACACGTAATACCCCACCCCCACATCCCAGTTTCAACCAAACTATTGTCAAGATGTCTGGTAGCATTACTTAGATAAGGCCACAGCTTCATAAAATTACCACAGCTGATAGTGGCGTGTGTGAGTGTGAGAGAGACAGATATATGAAGCTGCATATTAGCGAGCTACGGATATATACCTCGGTTACTTCTCTCCGGCTCCTTTGGAGATCTTCAAGCCTTTCCTCCTATAGTCTAGTCACCCCGCTTGCACCTCTCCCTCGCCTGGCCCTGGCTGCACGCCCACCCCGGCCTCTCTGCCCTCGTCCTCTCCCTCTTCCTCGCCTTGTAACCCCCGTGCCACCAAAATGACTTGGATTCTGTAAACGGGGAATATATATTCTTCCAGCGAACACAATCTCGCTGTTAAACTAATGACTACAATTACTTCGTCTGTTTATATCACCATGCAAAGCAGCTCACCAAAACGTCACAACGATGTAGAAAAAATAATGGGTATATTTATTATCTAAAGTCTACATAAAATCTATACCCTACACAGACTAAATACTATCTGTAAAATTATCTATGTAAACAAACCTCATCACTTGAGAAGGTAGGTGATGCGGACATCGTGGAAGACATTTTGTCCCGTAACGCTCGCCGTATTGTTGGGGGGGAAAGCGGTGGGGGGGAGATGTTCATGTTGCTGCAGTCTGCAGTCTGACCGCTAGATGTCGCTGAAAATTACACACTTTGTAGCTTTAAAATTTAACTTTTTATATATTTAAACCTTTAAGATATATATATATATATATATATATATATATATGTATATATTATATACATAATGAGCACTATAAAATAAAAAGGGCCTCCAGTTGTTTGTACTGGTTCCCTTAGCAGCCTGTATTTAAATCACTGTCAATAAGTGCGACTTTTATATTCAGATTTAATTACAGCCATTAAAACAACATCTGTAAATCTGGATCATTCTCATGAGCAGCCTGAAGAAGTCAGTTTTTTAAAGGTATAGTGAAACCTAATAGGAATATATTTTCTAAAATCAAAAACGTATTTTTTTTTCATGTGTCCATAGACACAGCTGTTGTTTTTCCCCTCTAAATAAGCCGTTATTATTTTAAAAGGAAGATTTTTAATGTGAATTTTAAAGTTGATTTATATAATTATATGCTGTGTAAATTCTGCTCTCTGGTGCATCTTTATAGCAGTTTTAAAGCTTGCATCAACTTTTTTTGGGGGGGTGGGGGGACCAATATCAATGTTTTTCATGGGGCCCCTGCTTAGGAGGTAAACGGAGGTCATCGGCAACTCGTTGCTCATCCTGCCTAACAGAATCTGTTTTACTTTTCCACAGGATGAAGAAAACGGTAACTTACCAGGAAAAGGTGAGTGGTCCATGTTTCTGTCGACTTCAATAGCCACAACCCTGTGTCAAGATCGGTTTTATTTTTTAATAACCGCTGTGCTTTTATCACCTCAATCAACCTGTAATCTAGTAGAAGAAATCTGATTTTCACTGTATAAGATACAACCTGTTAGAAATAAAGTTCCGTATTTTCACGACCATAAGGCGCACCGTACTAAAAGGCGCACTCTCAGTTATGTGTCCAATTTCTGTATTTAACACACACATAAGGCGCACCGGACTATAGGGCGCGTTTTTTATATACCGGTACATGTCCTCTACTACCTTTAAATACCTCTACTGCGTATTTAAAAATACAGCGGGGGCAAAACTGAGTATGACTGTGCTTTATTCATGTATTTATTACAAAGTATTAATCAAACCTGGCAGCTGGCCGTGAGACAGAGACATCGCAGATGACACAGCGCTGTGATCACTCCTAAATGAACTTAAAATCCTGAAACCTGCCGACGGAATATGTTCGCTTTTATTACCGGTATCCTGGTGCCTGCAGTTTAAATTATTTAGATGAAAAACACCTGCCAGCCACCGCGTGAACCCGGAGGCTGCCCAGCCTAGAGGCTGCTGATGAAAGGATTTCTACTGTCGGTGCACCGCTGGTATGTGGGGGTCTGAGCGCCTCCGACAGAAATAGATAATATGGATGAACTGACTGCAATTATTAAGTTTTCAGGTGGACTTTCTCACTTAAAAACATATTAAAACTACTTTATTCCCACTGATCACAGCAAATATAGCTGCAAGATTTAGATTATTTAGATGAAAAAACACCTGCCAGCCGCCGCGGTGAAGGGGAGGAGACCCGGCCCGGAGGCTGCTGTTGAAGGGATTCCTACTGTCGGCGCACCGCTGGTATGTGGGGGTCTGAGCGCCTCCGACAGAAATAGATAATCTGGATGAACTGACTGCAATTATTAAGTTTTCAGGTGGACTTTCTCACTTAAAAACATATTAAAACTACTTTATTCCCACTGATCACAGCAAATATAGCTGCAAGATTTGGATTATTTAGATGAAAAAACACCTGCCAGCCCCCGCGGTGAAGAGGAGGAGACCCGGCCCAGAGCCTGCTGTTGAATTAAGTTTTCAGGTAGAAAAATAGAGCGGGAGCAAAACTGAGTATGATTGTGCTTTATTCAGTATTTATTACAAAGTATTAATCAAACCCATCAAAGTCATCATCCTCTGTTTCTGAATTAAACAGCTGCGCTAAATCAGACATGCCAGTTTCCCCTTCTTCGCTGTCAGAGTCACTTTCCGTGCAGCGCGGCTCCTCAGAAATAATGCCGGCTTTTGCGAAAGCTTGAACAACAGAGCCAGCAGACACGTTAGTCCAAGCATCTCAATCCATCCACAAACGGTGGCGTAACTTGCCCGGCGCTGCCTTCCACTTATCCTGAAACTGTGGTCTCCGTCTGTCATCCATCGCTCCCACGCCGCTCGCAGCCTTACTTTGAACGGCCGCTTCACACTGATGTGGAGCGGTTGAAGTTCCTTTGTCAGACCCCCCGGGATAACGGCGAGCACAGCGTTCATTTGATTCACCTTTTTTTTCACATCGGCTGTGAGATGGGCACGCAGCGATGGTGATGCGTGGAAAAAACCACCTGGTCTCCTCACATACACCTGCCTCAGCCACGCTTTCATCATCTCCTCATCCATCCAGCCTTTTTCATTTGCGTTAATATCATATGTCATCAGAGCGCTGTGTCTGTCTCGCTGTCAGCTCCCAGATCAGCTTCTCTGATTGGTTGGTGCGGCGCGTCCAGCAGCAAAACTTCAATTTTTCCATCTTGAGCAGCAGCAGCGCGTTGGCGGTGCGTCAGATGCTTAAACGCTCCCGACGCGCTGCGCCTGCTGCTCAAAACGCGCTGCGGGACCTTTTGCTGCGCCTATACGCGCATCAACCATTGACTTTGCATGTAAACTCGCTGCTTCTGCTGCACCTGCTGGGTCCGGTTCACACCGATGTCGAGCGGTTGAACAGCGAGCACTGCGTTAATTTGTTTCCCCATGTTTTTCACATCAGCTGTGAGATGGGCACGCATGGAGTCACAGATTAACAGCGATGGTGATGAGTGGAAAAAAACACCTGGTCTCCTTACATTCAGCCACTCTTTCATCATCTCCTCAATGAGGTGGTCTCAAAAGTCGCAGTTACAACACACATAGGGCGCACCGCACCAAAGGGCGCACCGCACATTTTGAGGGAAAAAAAAGACGTTTAAGTGCGCCTTATAGTCGTGAAAATACGGTTTGTTTTTTAAAGGTATTGATGAAGATGTTGAATCCTGAAAATAACTGAAAATAATCTATGGTAGTTCATTTCATTGCTATATTTTTATTGAATATTTATTTATTAACCTCTTAAAAAAGAAGGGCAGGCTAGTCTAAAGCAAAGCTTATGCTGATAAGGGGAACATAGGCTACGTTCACACAGCAGCCTGAAGTGATCCAAATCTGACTTTTTTGCTAATATGTGATCTGGATCTGATCTGTTCGGTCTGAACAACTCAGATCCGATGTTTTCCAACACAACGCAGGACACTTGGCTCTGTGGGCCTGAATCCGAAATGAATCTGATCTTTTCAAATGCGAGCTGCGTCTGAACGGCAGTGGTGTCAAAAAAACACACATTTGTTATCTAGAAGTATAGATATTGCAGTTTAAAAACACTCTGGTAAAAGTTGAAGTATTAACTTGACCTCTTTACTTAAGTAAAAGTGAAAAAGTATGATCTCCAAAAAATACTTAAAGTATAAAAGTATAAAGTAACCTTTAAAAAACAGCCAGATGCCACTTTATGAATTGAAAGCAAAATTTTTCGACTATTTCAATAAGTTCTTTGAGATAGGGCCAAGGATGAGGAAGGTCTTGTTGGTCTCCGTCTCCCGATACGCTCTCGCCTGTGTTCGACCTTTCAGACATTTCAACATCTTTTTCTCAATCCTTCATTGTAGCATGGCATAGACAATTCATGTTAGCAGTTTGAAGAACACCTGCTTGCTTCTGATGATTTCCTTTAGCTAACTAATGAGTGTTTGCGTTATATGACTCATCCAATTACACTAGTTTTCACTAGATGTGGATGGAGCCAATGATCTGCATTGGATGGCGCACATGACGGGAAAAAAATATTTATAAACATTAAACCGAAGCCAAGAGTAACGAGTAACGTTTGTTTTAAAAATGTAAGGAAAAGAAAGTACAGATACTTATGTGAAAATGTAATGAGCAGAAGTCAGAAGAAAAATAAGTAATGGAGTAAAGTGTAGATATGTAAAAAATTTACTTAAGTACAGTAACAAAGTATTTGTTCTTCGTTACTTGACACCTCTGCTAAACGGCCAGGTCTCATTCATCCGACCTGAACGCCATTAATACCCGACAAAGGTCACTTGCTTGCTTCGCAGAACAAGAAAAACATCAACTGTGGAGGACGATGATGCGGATAGCAGTATTTATGTTTAAACATTTTGAAAAGATTGAGTTTTTAAGGTTGGGAAAGATTGTTAGATCTGTTCCAGCGCTACCATCCATGTTTACCTCAGTAAACACAGAGCACGCTGGTTTGTGATGTTATTGCGTCCTCTACTACGCATGTGGGACACTTAATCACTTACAAGTTGCATATATTTGGAAATGTGAACGGCAATTAAAAAAAATTCACACAAAAAATCGGAATTGAGCATTAAGGCCTGCAGTGGGGACCAATAGAAATGCACGTTTGCTCCTCACTCCAGAGTTTCTGGGATGCAACAATAATGGAACAAAATTCACTCCATATTTTTACACCTCCCTCTATCTGTGTTTCCTTAAAGCGGAGAGTCAGCGATCCTGCTTGGAGCCGATGGACACCATTTTTGTGAAAAGTGTCAAAGAAAACGGGCCGGCTCAGCAAGCTGGAATGTGTACCGGTAAGAAGCACAGCGTAATCCCATTACAACTGAACCCTAAAATACACACAATAAAACGTGGGGAACTTCTAAGGTAATAAATATTATTAATAAAGAAAAAAAGTTTAGCTGTATGGAAAGCCAAAAGTACCACAATATGTTAATAAGTGACAATATTTCTATTGATGTTTCTATTGATGTTTCTTTCACACATCAAAATTTAAAAAATTATTTATATCCTAAATAACCAATTAAGATATTTAGATAGGCATTATTAATGATCATTAAATTCATATTTGCAGTTCATGACCATAATGAGTTATATATATATATATATATATATATATATATATATATATATATATATATATATATATATATATATATTAGTGCTGTCAAAATTATCGCGTTATTATCGCGTTAACGCGAGGCCATTTTAACGGCGATAATTTTTTTAACGTGAGATTAACGCTATGTGGTTTTATGGTACAATTTTCCAAGTACATCCCGCTGCAGCCTGCGAGAAGGCGGGGCTATTTCCCCCCAGTCTATGCATTTCCCATAGGCTTCGAGAGCAGAGCTTCTCAAGGGAAAAAGACGCTCATACACTGGGTGACGCTGGTGCCTTTTCTTTAAGCCCCACCACCAACAAACAAGTTGAGTGTCTGGTAACTAGTAGCAACCTGATATACGCTGAGAAAACAGATTACTGAGGTGAAATGGAATCTGCTACGGCACTTTTGCTGTCTGTGTATGCAACAGGTCAGTATCGTGTGTGTGTGTGGGTGGGTGTGTCTGTGTGTGTGTGTGTGTGGGTGTGTGTGTGTGTGTTCTCATTTTTGTTAAGAGTCTGAAAAGTAACTTTCTAGAGCATAGACTACCTCCATCTAGTGATGTCGGTCTATTGATTTTGATGTATTGATTGAAAATTGTTCATTACTACCTTGGTTAATTAACATCTAATGTTAACTGCTTGTCTTTGTTCAAAAGACTGTATTAACTGTAAAGACTGTCTTTTACATCAGCCTGTTTTCAGGGCCTTTTTTTTGGCTACATATTTGTTATTTTTTGCTACATGCCTCCCCATCTTCTTGCCATATGTTTCTATGGCATAAATCAGTATCTGTGACCTGTTTTCATTTAAAAAAAAGAACATTGGCACAAACCTAGCCTGTATGTATTTTTTGTATGTCATCGAGAGTATTTAAATGATTTTCAATCAGAAAAAAAATTTGCGATTAAAATGCGATTAATCGCGAGTTAACTCAGGCATTGATGCGATTAATCGCGATTAAAAAAAATTAATCGATTGACAGCACTAATATATATATATATATACACATCTTCCTGCTTCAGTAAAGTAAAAAATAAAAATGTGATTAAAATTTGGAAGGTGATCTGCAGTGGACTCACTTCCAGAAAAAGGTGTCTTTTTTGGAATCCAGTCTGTGTAGGATGTTCCAGTGATTGTCTAGTTTAATGGAGGGCGGACAGGGTTTACCCAGATTGCGTTTGTTCCTTGGTGAACGGAGAAGCTGACTGCCACTTAGATTTCCCACGGTACTTGAGAGGGTTGTTGTGGAGATGAATCCCCTGCTCAGAGAGAAGCTCCAGACGATTCTTGGGAGAAAAGGTTGATCCAAACCATAAACTTGAATCCTTAGCTCAGTTTGGTTCTCAGAAGATCCTTCCAGGGGAGAGAAGGTCCGAAACACCCAGTTTGCAGGATGCCTTCCTGCCGAGAGGCAAAGACAAAAACAGCAAGATTAAAACTCAGGTTAACCAAAACTCAGTTTGACCCAGCCAAAACTCAGCTTGGCTAGAGTACCCAAACTGGCAAAACAAAAAACTCAGGTTAGACTCTGATAAACTAGGCATGGCTAGAGTACCCCAAACTGGCAAACACTCTGGCCTCGAGGTGGTGGCAGTCAGCAGCTTAAGAACACTCCACATTTAATGAGGCAACGAGCTGCAGGTGTGCAGGGAGGCCCAATGAGCATGGGGCACCACCTGGTGGAGGAGAAAAGGAAACACAAAAACAGACCACACAAACTGGATTCCTGACAATACATAATTATTCAAACAATAACCCACCTCCCAATAATGCATGGTCTGAAGAGTTTCACTTTTTTCTCTGTTGTCCATATTAAGAACTCTGGGAAATTTAACTTTACCCTCAAAGGTCATTTTTGGCACCAATCTCCTGCAGAGTGAAAATAGGCAATGAGGCCGTCTGGCACCTCCTCCGGTACCGCTGCCACGATCCGAGCCTACCGTCTCTCCATTTTTTTTCTTATTATATTAAACAGTCCTGACTCTTGGTCTCTTCTGTTTTAACTGTTCTCTGGATCTGGGTTCTCCAGGAGATCGACTGGTGAAGGTGAACGGGGAGAGCATTCTGGGGAAAACCTATTCTCAGGTTATCACACTCATCCAAAACAGGTGCAGATCATTATGACTGTAACATCTTCTCACACTCTTCTTTATTTTATTTTCTCACTGCTGTTTGTTGTGTTTTTCTATTCAGTGAGAAGCAGCTGGAGCTGACCATTATGCCAAAAGATGAGGATGTGTTGCAGTTGGTAAGTGTGAGTATTACCTTCCTTCTTTTTTCTGCCTTTTCCTTCCAGCTAGACTGTCTGCGATGCAAAATAACTGTTTCAGGCATAAAGATGGTGATCGGAGCGTACAGGCGTGGTGGACGCTTTCAGGCAGCAAAGGGACATTTTGCAGAAGGTGTCAAATCTAAACTTCTCTATAAAGCTGTCGAGATAACCAATCAAGGACTGGATGTGGCTGTGACGTGGGGTTAAGTAGGTCAGCACAAATAATTTTTTTGTTAAAATCCTACCAGAACTGTTTCTACTGGGGCCTGGAAAGACAGAAGTACAACTGGAAGTGATTATTTAGCCGCAGCATGTGTACCGGATGGAGGTAAAGCTCAGAGGGGAGCTCATCTGCTGACGCTGTTGATTCTCACTCACATCGAGCTAAACAGACAACAGGATAGTGGCGGCTGGTGAAATGTTCTCCGGGGGGGCTATAAGTTCAAAATAGACGTATGTCAACAATGTGGGTGAGGTTGCGTTTGGACCCAAAAGCAGAGATGAGTTCTTGTAGATTTAATGCAAACTGAGGCAAACATCCAAAACACAAAAAATTCTGAGAACCAAGAAATTGGCAAATATCGTTGAAAACTCAAGTTGAGACTAGGAAGCGACTAACAATCAACAAGGAATCAACACTGAAGAACTGCAGAGGGAGACAGAACATAGACTGGGCTAATCAGATGATAGGGAGCAGGTGTGGATGGAAGTGACTAGAAGGGAGCTAGGGGAAAGGAGACAGGCACAAATGGGCAACACAGAGTAACTAAAGAGTTCTTAAATATAACATAAAATGGGAAATAAACCAAAGATCAACAATGCAGAATTACTTAGATAGTGAACACTGAAAACTCAAGGTCTCAAAAGGGGAGAACCAGGACACGGATGCTAAAAACCAATCCAATGTATACTAAGGTATCACACTAGTATATTTACATGGATGCCAACAACAAAAACCAACGTCATCAAATGTTCTGCAAAGTGCTTTAAATCAGTGCTAGCTGTCTTTATCCATGCTGGGTCAGATCCTGACGTTTGAAAAATGAGGCAGGGAAAGCAGGATAAAGCCTTAGCCTCACTGCATGCAGCTAGCCTAGCCTTGGAGCTAAATAATTCTATAGGCCTGTCAATGAACCGCACTTTCTAACAGACGACTGTGACGTCAGCGCTGTGGAGGGAGGTGGTTTGCAAATAAAGATGCTTTCAGCTCTGGATGCAGGAGAGCTGCTCCTCGGGATGCTCCTATCTTTGTATTGAAGAGGAGCTGCTGCGCATGGACAACTTTAACCAGCGTCTATGGGGGAAATACGTCACCAATCCGACGACCAACGAAACAGCTTTACCCATAATAAAAGATTAAATATTTATTTTGCACATCTAAAAAATACATTTTGAAACATTTAAATTTTATAAATTATTTTTTATTAGTTTTTTTTATGTGTTGTTAAAGTTCATTGGGTGACGTAACGTACTCAGTTCTATAGAAAGCTGAACTCAAATCTAAAGTGCTTTAAATCAGTGCTAGCTGTCTTTATCCATGCTGGGTCAGATCCTGACGTTTGAAAAATGAGGCAGGGAAAGCAGGATAAAGCCTTAGCCTCACTGCATGCAGCTAGCCTAGCCTTGGAGCTAAATAATTCTATAGGCCTGTCAATGAACCGCACTTTCTAACAGACGACTGTGACGTCAGCGCTGTGGAGGGAGGTGGTTTGCAAATAAAGATGCTTTCAGCTCTGGATGCAGGAGAGCTGCTCCTCGGGATGCTCCTATCTTTGCATTGAAGAGGAGCTGCTGCGCATGGACAACTTTAACCAGCGTCTATGGGGGAAATACGTCACCAATCCGACGACCAACGAAACAGCTTTACCCATAATAAAAGATTAAATATTTATTTTGCACATCTAAAAAATACATTTTGAAACATTTAAATTTTATAAATTATTTTTTATTAGTTTTTTTTATGTGTTGTTAAAGTTCATTGGGTGACGTAACGTACTCAGTTCTATAGAAAGCTGAACTCAAATCTAAAATATCACACAAGCAGAAATCTCTGAATTGGAACAATTAGACCATAGAAGGTATGGAAAGCTCTACACCCTCAGCAGGGTCCTGGAGGGTGCATGGGAGTTCACCCAACCAGTCTACATGTGCTTTGTGGACTTGGAGAAGGCGTTCGACCGTGTCCCTCGGGGGGCCCTGTGGGGGGTTCTCCGGGAGTACGGGGTGCCGGGCCCTTTGATACGGACTGTCAGGTCCCTGTATGACCGGTGTCAGAGTCTGGTTCGCATTGCCGGCAGTAAGTCGGGCTCGTTTCCAGTGAGAGTTAGACTCCGCCAGGGCTGCCCTTTGTCACCGATTCTGTTCATTACCTTCATGGACAGAATTTCTAGGCGCAGCCAAGGTGTTGAGGGGATCCGTTTTGGTGGCCTTAGGATTGCGTCTCTGCTTTTTGCAGATGATGTGGTCCTGTTGGCTTCATCAGGTCGTGATCTGCAGCTCTCGCTGGATCGGTTCGCAGCCGAGTGTGAAGCGGCCGGGATGGGGATCAGTGCCTCCAAATCCGAGGCCATGGTCTTGAGCCGGAAAAGGGTAGAGTGCCTTCTCCGGGTCAGGGGGGGTGTCCTGCCCCAAGTGGAGGAGTTTAAGTATCTTGGGATCTTGTTCACGAATGAGGGAAGAAGGGAGCGGGAGGTCGACAGGCGGATTGGTGCAGCGTCTGCCGTGAAGCGGGCGCTGTGCCGGTCCGTCGTGGTGAGGTGAAGAGAGAGCTGAGTCAAAAAGCGAAGCTCTCGATTTACCGGTCGATCTACGTTCCTACCCTCATCTATGGTCATGAACTCTGGGTCATGACCGAAAGAACGAGATCGCGGATACAAGCGGCCGAAATGGGTTTCCTCCGTAGTGTGGCTGGGCTCTCCCTTAGAGATAGGGTGAGAAGCTCGGTCATCCGGGAGGGACTCGGAGTAGAGCCGCTGCTCCTCCACGTCGAGAGGGGCCAGTTGAGGTGGCTTGGGCATCTGTTTAGAATGCCTCCTGGACGCCTCCCTGGTGAGGTGTTCCGGGCACGTTCCACCGGGGGGAGGCCCCGGGGAAGACCCAGGACACGCTGGAGAGACTATGTTTCTCGGCTGGCCTGGGAACGCCTTGGGGTTCCTCCTGAAGAGCTGGAAGAAGTGGCTGGGGAGAGGGAAGTCTGGGCCTCCCTTCTTAAGCTGCTGCCCCCGCGACCCGACCCCGGATAAGCGGAGGAAGATGGATGGATGGATGGAGGTATGGAAAGCCAAATGTGCCACAAATTAAATTACTTAGAGGTGGGGAATATTTTTATTTTATAAAAAAAAAAAAAGACTCAAGATGCATGCATTAAATTAACGCAACCTAAACAAATAAATAGTTGTATTTTAATTTCATAATTTGTCATTTTTAGTTACGTAGTTGTTACTCTTTGCAGAAGATATTGCTATTTTATTTCCCTGTCTCACAAATCAAAGCTAAATGAAAGCCAGTCATAATTATTTAGGTTTGTCATATGATCTACTGCTGACTTTTATGATCTTTAACAAAGAAAGCCGAAAAAGATTTTTTCAAAATGTCTCATATATCTGATTAAAAGTGAGGACTTAAGCACAAGTATTAATTAGGCAACATCATATTTATTTCAGCTTTCCATAAAATAAAAGTAATTTAAAAACTCCCTTGTTCTTGACTCTGTCTCACCATCACAGCATCTTGGTCTTAATCTTGCTTTCCCTTGGCCTTAAATCGTTCTTGCACTTACTCGATCACTTCTTTTGGCTACTTGTTTTTCGCCATTCTATAGTCTTGGTCTTGACTTGGTCTTCCTTTGGTCTCTCTTTCTTAGTCTTGGTCTTGAATATGTGTTGTCGCCCTTGGTCTTGACTTGGTGTCATTCTCAATCACTCTTGGTCTTGACGTGGTCTCACCCGCCATTGGTCTTAACTGACTTGACTCAGTCTTGTCCTCACTTGGTAGTCACTCGGTCTCTACCTTAGTCTTTGTCTCTTGACCCTGTCTTTCTCCATTGTCTTGTCTCTGCTTCTTTCCCTTGCTCTGTGTCCTGCCTCAGTCTAAGTCACAGGTGTCAAAGTCGTTACAGAAAGGGCCGTGTGGCTGCTGGTTTTCTGCCACACGGCCCTTTCTGGAACGACTTTGACACCCCTGGTCTAAGTCTTTACTCTCTCTTACCCTTCCTCAGTCTCGGTCTTGACTCTTTGTCACCCTTCCTCAGTCTCGGTCTTGACTCTTTGTCACCCTACCTCAGTGTTGGTTTTCAATGGGTCTCGCCCTCACTTGGTCTTCACTCAGTTAATCACTTAATTCTTGCTCTTGACTCTGTCTCTCCCTCGCTTGGTCTAGACCTTGTCTTACTTTCCCTCACTCTGTCTCCATCAGTCCCTCAATCTTGGTCTTTACTCAGTCTCTCTCCCTTGGTCTTGGTCTTTACACTGTGTCTCCCTCCCTTGGTCTAGACTTGATTTTAGTCTCCCTCAGTCTTAGTCTTGACTAGGTCTCATCTTCATTTGGTCTTCAATCTCTCTTTCCCATGGTATTGACTCAGTCTCACTCTCACATTATGTATTGTGGTATTAAAACAGATGTGGTGAGGAAAGCATATGAGTTTCTGAAAAAGGATATCATGGCTGCAAGTAGAAAAAGGCAAAAACAAAAAGACAGTATGCATGTAAAATACTGTTTTAGGACTTACCCAGACTACTGTCTTCATCCTTTTCTCATTAAAAATTAATGAGTTTTTACTAGTCAGAGCAGTGTTAAAAATAAGCCATTGTAATTTGGAATAGTTAAATTCATTAGATGTTGAACCACCTTGCTATATACGGGTAGCTGAATTATCAAGCAACTAACACAATGTGAAAACAGTGGTGTGAGCGTGCCTGTACTGTTTTATTTTATTATTTTTTCCTCTGTGCCATGCCTCCTCAGGTATATTCCCAGAATGTCAACTCCAAAGAGGCTAAGCTGCACTCAAGTGAGGCCCACCACTTCCCAGAAGCTCTGCGTCTCTGCAACCCGAGCTGCGCTCTGCAGCAGCCTGCTTCCAGCCTTCCAGGTCCTCTGGACAACTGGCCGTGCAAAGGCAGCAGCACCGCCTCACTGGACAACAAACCCTCTGCTACCTCCACCTCTGGCCGACCCCAAGTCCCACAGGATACCAGCAGTCACGTGGCTCCGCCATGGCGACACCAGGGCCACGTTTCGGCATCCCTTAACGCATTTGACTTCCATTTTGCTAACCACAATGCTGCCATCACCTCTGCGACGCTGCCTCCACCTCGGAGGAGAAGTCTGCTGGCCTCGTCACGCGTTCACAGTGACGCACTCTGCCAACAGGCTCTGTCCGACTGGTACCACACCCAAGCTGAGGCTGCAGAGCACTTCTCCCCCTGTCACCGCAGTGTATCGCAGGACTACTTAGCCGAGCAAGAGCTAGGTTTGCCATCCGGTCCCAGATTTGCGGCTGGCCCTACAACCTCCCTCCTGCAACACCGGGCAGCAGCCGCAGTGCATGACGCCTACTGGCTGGGTGGCTGGGGTGGAGCGTCTGAGGCCGCCAGCAAATCGTGCTCGGAGAGTCTGCTGGCAGCTTACGCCGAATACGAACACAACTATGGACGCTCTGTGGAAACACTGGCTGAGGCCTCCGCTCTGGTCTCACAACATTACGAACAGACAAGCAAAAGAGTGCAGAGGAAGCAGACAGCTCCAGGAGGACACGAACACGTAACCGCGGTGACCACCGCAGTGACCACCACAGTCACAGCTTCCTCCAGCGCTTCCAGTCAGCAGGTGGCTGAGCCCCAAACACGACGCCTAAAAGGAGAAGAGCTGGTGGGATACAAAAGCTACAGCCCCTCTTTTTACCGCAAAGAGGGACATCTCCTCCAACAGTCCCACTCCTTCAGAGACCCCAGTTACAGGGGCCCTCATATGAACTGGGGGTCCGGCACCGGAAGAGACAGCAATGGGGGAAAATTGTCTCATCTGCAGTCGCCCAGCACAGCATTGGCTTTGGACAAGAAAACGGACACATTGAGGGAGGACAGAGAGGTTGCCTCTTCTGTGTCCCCAACTCAAAGGCCCCCATTTACGCGTCAGGCTGGTTCCACACATACAGAGTCGCTGCAACCATCAGCTTGGACTCCTGCGGCAGGAAAAACTCCAGTCCAACCAGACACAGGGTCCAGCCGCAGGGTCAATGGTAGCCTGGCCCATGCTTTTAATTCCCTGTCCTCCATTCCTTTCATAGGTTAGTGAAAAACACAAAGCTTCCAACAGGAAGTCTCTGCCTTCACTTCAACAGGAAGTGTACTCTGAATATTGCGTCAACCTCGAAAAGAAACCATTTGGTTTGTTGCTACATAGTTTTTTATGTAGCATTTGTTCTTATTATTGACAGAGAAGGTGAATTTTGGTTCATTATTGTTTTTCAAGCAAAGGATCAGTTTTTTGTTTTTTTTTATGGAAATAAATTTTTTTCCCCCCATTTTATTATTTAAAAAAAACATGAAATTATAGGTCAACATTCTCTCAGTAGAAGAAGTACAGATCTTACAGATTTGTTCTGTTTTTACTTTCTTTGCCACACTAAAATGTTTTGTGATCATCCAACAAATAATAGTTAAGAAAAGATTGCCTAAATTCAGTGTTTTATGTCAATACTGAACATTTTTAAATGAATTGTACATATATAGGTAATTATCTACTTACCTGATGAGGGATATATTTAAGAGTGTAGGGCTGCAACTAATGATTATTTTGCAAATTAAATAATCTATCAAGTTTTTTTCGATTTATTGATAAATAATCGAATATCAAAAGGTTCCTCAAAGAAGAATTTTTACAGAATTAAACCAGGTAAAACTAAAATATTTCCAGATGAGGAGTTCTGGATAGAGCACATTGACAGACTATAAAGTTTTTTTTAAGTTGGTCGCTCTGTCAGCTAAAGACATGTTTTAGAGTCTCTATACTCCAGTTAACGATTTTCGATCAGTAAATTAGTTGACAATTATTGTAATAATCAATTATTCCGATTGTTTCAGCCATATAGGAGGGTGTAAATATATATATATACACTACCGTTCAAAAGTTTGGGGTCACCCAAACAATTTTGTGTTTTCCTGAAAAGTCACACTTATTCACCACCATAAGTTGTGAAATGAATAGAAAATAGAGTCAAGACATTGACTTGTGTCCAATCAAGCGCTGTCCACTGGGTATGGCATGGCGTTGCAAAATGGAGTGATAGCCTTCCTTATTCAGAATCCCTTTTGCCCTGTACAAATCTCCCACCATACCAGCGCCAAAGCAACCCCAGACCATCACATTACCTCCACCATGCTTAACAGATGGCGTCAGGCATTCTTCCAGCATATTTTCATTTGTTCTGCGTCCGACAAACGTTCTTCTTTGTGATCCAAACACCTCAAACTTGGATTCATCCGTCCACAACACTTTTTCCAGTCTTCCTCTGTCCAATGTCTGTGTTCTTTTGCCCATCTTAATCTTTTTCTTTTATTGGCCAGTCTCAGATATGGATTTTTCTTTGCCACTCTGCCCTGAAGCCCAGAATCCCGCAGCCGCCTCTTCACTGTAGATGCTGACACTGGTGTTTTGCGGGTACTATTTAATGAAGATGCCAGTTGGGGACCTGTGAGTCGTCTGTTTCTCAAACTAGAGACTCAAATGTACTTATCTTCTTTCTCAGTTGTGCAACGCCGCCTCCCACTTCTTTTTATACGCTGGTTAGAGCCTGTTTATGCTGTCCTCTGAAGGGAGTAGTACACACCGTTGTAGGAAATCTTCAGTTTCTTAGCAATTTCTGGCATGGAATAGCCTTCATTTCTAAGAACAAGAATAGACTGTGGAGTTTCAGATGAAAGTTCTCTTTTTCTGGCCATTTTGAGCGTTTAAATGACCCCACAAATGTGATGCTCCAGAAACTCAATCTGCTCAAAGGAATGTCAGTTTTGTAGCTTCTGTAACGAGCTAAACTGTTTTCAGATGTGTTAACATGATTGCACAAGGGTTTTCTAATCATCAATTAGCCTTCTGAGCCAATGAGCAAACACATTGTACCATTAGACCACTGGAGTGGTAGTTGCTGGAAATGGGCCTCTATACACCTATGTAGATATTGCACCAAAAACCAGATATTTGCAGCTAGAATAGTCATTTACCACATTAGCAATGTATAGAGTGTATTTTTTTTAGAGTTAAGACTAGTTTAAAGTTATCCTTATTGAAAAGTACAGTGCTTTTCCTTCAAAAATAAGGACATTTCAATGTGACCCCAAACTTTTGAACGGTAGTGTATAGCTTAACATTAACTTTTTGCTCACTTGCGACTGTAGTTAGTTGTTTTTCAAAGTTACTATCCACTCAACATTTTCTCATGCCATAATTTAGTTGTTAGAAAATTACCTTTAATTTGATTAACACTCACTATGGCTTCCTTAAGTTTACTTAAAATGTAAACCTTCCAAAGCTGTCAAGCTTCCGTCGAATGATGCAACTTCAGGGCAGAGAGAAGCTCAGAGGTTGATGCTTTCCTTCTGGAATGACAAATTCAATGTGTGGTTACTTCCATGAAAATGTGGAACATATGTTGATCATCAAAACATGCAAAATGCTGGGTGGAGGTTTTGCAAACTTCCCGCAGTTCTGGTGCAAAGTGCGACAGAAACAAAAACAGAAGAAGTATGTACGAGAGCAGATGTTTTTTAAACCACTCTATAATTATGTGTTTTAATACAGCCTGTCATGTCTCTGTCCACATCATGTTCACTCACAGCGTCTGTTTCCCCTGTACCTGTGTAACAGTGATCAAATGTTATCCTTCAGTCTTTCCATGTGCTGTTTTTAGGCATTATAAACATCTGAGGATGCAAATGAACATTCTTAGAAATGGAGCTTCTATGGATGCAGAAATACCTAAGCTTCCAGCAGCTGTTTTTATGTTTAGTACAAATCCCCCCGAAAGTGACGACAGATTGGTTAGAAGTAAAAAAAAATTTATAAAAAAAATCAGAGATCAATGCTGTATAAGCAGGTTTCTCTGTTTTAATCACAGTTTAGATGGAGCTTGATGGAGGGCGTTTCCAGGGCGTACGAAGATCTGTCTCTTGACACTTCGGAGCTAATGAAGAACAAAGACGTCCGATTTATTACATGCTTCTGGGTTTTCCTCTGAGTTGAAGAAGAAGAATCATTGTTTGCGCTCTGAGCGATTTCCCCACAACCACCTTACGACCGCCGACTGAATTTCAAACATATTTGATTTTCTCCCGACCTTAAGATTCCTGATGCAGCAGTGTGTCGCAGTGAGCTTTTCACAGATATTTTATGATTTATGCTCAATATTGAAGTGTGGTCTGTGCTATGTTATTCCACGCTACAACGCCAGAGGGCCAATCAGGAACTAGCTGTGGGTCTAGATACGGCCAAGGAGGTGAGGAAGTGGGGGCAAGTTTGTCCGACAACGGAGGGACATGAGGGCCAAAAAGAGCGGGGATCCAGGTTGAAAAAGGGTCCCAGCGTTCTTACCTACCTCGCGCTTCTAGCTGGTCCAACTTCACGAGTCGTTTTCCACAATGGCGGTCAGACACACAAAACAAGCCAGTAAGGTACCAAACATGGTACCAAACAGGAAATACACAGTGTTGAGCGGATGTAGATTTGACCAATCAGATGCTTCCTGTCTGTGTCAGTCACTTACAATTTTGGAGAGGTGCAACAGAGTGCGGAAGGGGTGGGGCATATCTGTGTTCACTGCAACTCACATGCAGACAACCTGGTTTCTGAGTATAAACCAGCCCTTACCACCTGTTCACTACACGATGCAAGATCAGGCTTAAAGTCGGCCCAATTGAAAAATTCTCGCACAACTGGAGAATCAGCCCGAAAAGGGCAAAACATCGTACAGTGTATGCCCGGCTTAAGAGACCAAATGCAGAAGGATCTTTAAATCTGGTGTAAAGTCTTCCTAGTTCAACTTCACAGATGATTTCTGTTTCCATAGAAGCTGTGTTTCATAGAAATGAAGCAGAACTCACCCATGTATCTCTGTGTCCGTATGTTCTTTCTTTTGTTTTCCTGTCTGCCTGCGTTGTTTACCTGGTGTTGCTCGCCTGCACAGATGACCCTGTCAGTCCCAGTGCCGACCGCCAGGCCTGCTGTGTACCCGCTCACTCCGAGTCCAGCAACCACGCCTCCGCTGCGGCCAGCATCACCTTCACCTCTGTGTCCCCCCCACCCTCCATCTCCCCCCCTGTACAACTGCGCTCTCACGACTTCAGTGAGTCTCACTGACCCAATCTAAGCACTACAGGCCTAGAAAGAAATTCCCTTTACTAATGCGGAATTAACAGAAGATGTTCAGCCCTATATTTAAAACATAGTCCTGATCAAAACCAGCTCCCATGTCCTCCCTTTTGTAGCCTAACACTGTAATACCAAAAAACTTTCCAAGTGGGAAGATATTTCACTTCCCATCCAGGAAGCTTTTTCAATTCAAAATGTCAGAAATAGCCTCAAAAGAATGACCTTTGTCCATTCTCTTAGGACGAGAATGTTCACATTTAGGACAAAAAAAAAAGGTGGTTTGTGAGGGGTGTAAAGGAATCCATATATGTTAAGAGAGAAAAAACAACAGGCTCTTCCAACTGTTGCATTTCTGAATTCTCCCGAGTGGTGCCCGACTTTACACGAGTGAATAAAGTGAATGTGATTGGTCCTTTATTAAGGTGGCGGGATGTTGTGGCGGAAGGTTCGCAGTTAGCAACTTAGTGCTAGTAGGTTCCCAATGGGAAATTCCATTGGGACCAAGTAGCACTAAATTGGTGACTTAGAAACGACACTGTCAAGGAACGCTATGGACAGAGGAAACATGCAAGAGGAGGAGAGTTTAGTGTCGGAGGTCGTGGATGAGTCTCCTCAGTCATCCATTTTTTATTTAGAGGAGGAAAGCGGGGAAGAAGATGTTGGTTTGGTGTAGAAGGCTTCCAGCCGTACATGTTTGAGCCCAACGCTGCCAGTTCTGTTAGCTCTACGCCTGCTGAAGACACAGACGTCCATCCCCGTGAACACTGGGACGGAACTCAATGGGAAAGGAAATTATTCTGATTTCTTATTTCACCCGTTGCGTATTTTAGCTGCGACACATGAATCAAGATGCTATGACCGAAAAAATTTGATTGACAGATGACCGTTGATATATGATTGGCTGAATTTAGGTGAACAAGCCAACGTATAACTAACTGGCCTGCAGAAGATAACGAAAAAAACACAGATTTTAAGACAGGATTTTTTTTTTAAATAGAAATATTCTAAATTTTGGGACAACATGGTCTGATAAAGAGTACATTTATAGACATGTTTAAGCCAGAATGATTTGACATTTAAAAATGATTTCCCTACAACCTTAAACAGAGGGGCTGGACTTGGATTTCAGCTTTCAAAAACCTACAATGCAGCATTTGAGTTGTGCCCTTCCCGCTATCATTGCATTGCCTACGATCTCCCCTAACAACCCCCCTTTTAGAGACATAAACAGGTATGGGGCATTGCAGGCTAATGAAGAAGCCAAACAACCCTGATTCCAAAGAGTTGGACCCGTTCATCCGTTTCAATTTGCATGTTTTCTAAACAAAGACAAGGCTTTGTTGTGCTACTGTATAAAATCTGAAACTCAACGCTATTTCTGACATTTTGAATTGAAAAAGCTTCCTGGATGGGAAGAGAAACGTCTTCAAACTTGGAAACAAAATCCAGTGGATTGTTTTTTTAAACTTTTTCGGAATGACTGTTACCTGGATGGCTGAGAGTGTTCACCAACTCTCACAACTGCTTGTGTCGAACACATCCCTTATTATCAAAGTCAACAAACGTAAAAGCTGGAGAAAATTCCTAGATGCATTTAGCAAGCACAGCATCACGTTAGCATTGAGCAGCATGAGGTTTAACTAGCTTAGCGGTGTTTCCTGTCCATTAGCTCCTTTCATGGATAGAATTGTATCAAGTAAGTTTACAGCTTATTATAAAAAAAAGAAGTAAAAAATACCGTTTAAGTTACTGCAGTATAATGTCCCTTTGGGATTATTAAAGTATTTTTGAATTGAACTATTAACAAGCTAACATAGAACAGAACGAAAGGATAACAGCATTTCTTTGAGAGTTCATTACTGCTACAAAAACAACAAGCAGCTTCAAACTATTTCAAAACAAGAATTGTTCCATTATGATATATCCCAAAAGCCTCTTAAAAAGGTCTAAGTCATAAAGTCTAATCTAATGGATATGTAATGATAATGCTAATGCTAACGCTGCTGTGAAGCGTCGGGATGCCGTGTTCAGAACAGCAGATTAAAAATCTCTTTGGATTAAACTCAATCTGAAACTGATTAAAAGTTACCACAGATTATATTATATTTCACAACTTCTGTAAAATTATGACCTTTAACCCTAATCTGATTATTGGATTAAACTGTTATCTGATTTTCAATCCAACATAATGAATTAATTTTTGGGGGAATTCCTGTTTATCTGTTTTCAGATATTATGATTGTTGCACTATATATTATTTTTGGAGGTAACTGGTGATATTTTAATAAATCAAAGTGTATTATTGTCTGGGTAGGAAGCATTAAAGGTCGCCGCTCCTCGTACCTGCTGGCCATCACCACGGAGCGATCCAAGTCCTGCGACGAGGGACTCAACACCTACAGGGAGGAGGGCCGCGTCATGTCGTGAGTTAATAACTTACAAAAATCCCTACTTGTAGTTTAGATCAACTTCAACAAGTCATGTTTTATCTAATTTTATATAATTATAGCCATTGGCAAATCATGCTATCTACCTGCGCCATTTAAAACACACTTATATAAGGACTTTCTAGTTGTTTGTAGATTATTATTTGCAGTGAAACTTCAAACAATGTTACTAGGAGAGCTAATATAGACGATGCAGATAGAGGTGTTTCACAGTAATCTGTGAAATCTTGCTTTTCAGTTAGAGAGCAATATTTAATAGTGGAATTATATAAAGATATAAACTGCTATGGAGGGAAATCTGATGTAATATTGAAAGCAAAGAACACAATTAAAAAAAAGGAAAATTGAAGAACATTATTTCAAAAAAGACATCAAGAAAAATTTCTCAATCAAAATAGGTTTTGAGAAAACTTCTATTTTTTCAGAATTTATTTGATCAAAGCTTTTTTCAGATTCTATTTATTCATTGTTTTTATAAAAAAATTTGTATGTATATCTATTGATTTTTTCATGTTTTTCAGTTTTTATTTCTCTTTCATTTTTCTGACATCTTGTTTTTGAAAAAGAAAATTTGGATTCAATATAAAAAAAAAATCATATTTATTATTATTTTTATTATTATGATTATTATTAGGTTGTTTTTGTTTTTTTTTTCCCATTTAATTTTTACATTTTTTTACATCCTATTTTTTTAGATAAATATTATTTTAAAGTCTCTTCTTAATAACAAACTTATAATTATAGTTTTTGTGTCTTTTTTCCCTTTTTGCCTCATTAAATTCTTCTATTTTTTTTTTTTTTATCCTATTTCCTCTTCTTCAAAAAAACCTGCTGGAAAAGATGATGTTCCTTTCAGTGTCCTTTCTACTCGCAAGATTTTTCTCAGAGGCTACACTAGATAATGAGTTCCCTTCACATTATACATTTCCAATATTAAAAACCTGCTGTTTGCTTTTATTAATTTTGGATAAAAATTCTCTCCATAAGCCCCTGCAGGCTGGAGCCTGATAATGAGATTCATTTTAACCTAATGCCGTATCCAGCAGCCGTAAAAAAAAAAACATTTCTATACGAAAATGTGATGTAACACCGAGCATCTGTTTGGCAGATGTTAGTTTTTAATGTTTTTTGTGTGTTTTATCTGCCCAACAGAAAATTACCAAAAAGAGTGAAGAGCTTCTTTGCTGAGGGGGTGAGTTACTGGAACGGGTTTAATTTGTAAACCAGGTGAAAACATGGAAAACTCTTAACCTCTCGCCTGTTAATCCGAAGTCTTTGGACAGTTTGCGAGCGCAGGAGGACGCCCGCTCCAAACGCCACTCTACATCAGAGCTGGGCACCATTACCTTCAGCGATGTTCGCAAGGAGGGCTGGCTGCACTACAAGCAGATCCTCACCGAGAAGGGAAAGGTACGTCTACCTGCTGCTTCAGACGCCTTGGAAGGCTTTGAAGATGTACGGAGAGAAATATTATTGAAATAAGAAAAATAAAACTGAAAAACATCCTTTAAAAAAAGAATTTGAAATCAATTTATATCAGCAAATACTGCTCCATTGATTTCAGATTCTTTTTTTCCCAAATATATTTGGTTTATTTTTTCAAGAATCAATTCTTTTATTTTTCGATTATTTATTCAGATTTTTTTTTTTTTTTTCCAGATCTTATTTATTAAAATGTATTCTCCTTTTTTAAAAAGTTTTTTCAGATTCTATTTTTCCATATTTCAGAAGTATAGACGTTGAAATCAGTAAAACAGGATTTTAAAAGAATTCAGTTTGTAAAACTATATTTAAAAAACAATCAAATTAACATTTAAAAAAAAAACTACGGAAAACACAATCTGAAAAAATATTGGAAAAAAAAATTTGGAATATAAATAAAATTTGAGTTAAAGAAAAAGAAAAAAGTTTAATTTCAAAATAAAAAAATCCAAAAACACATTTTAAAAATAAAACCTGAAGAAAGGGAAATTAAACAGAAAATCTGGGGGGAAAAAATGTTTGACAAAAGAAAGAGGAAAAATGAAATCAAAATTGAAAAAGGTAATAGAAAAATAAAATAGGAAAAACGACATTTGTAAACTAAATCTGAAATAAATAAACCCTGAAAAAGAGTTTTCAGTAATAGTGTAACTAAATAACCTTCTGATGTATTTTCCTGAGTTTTCCGGAGTGCGCTGACCGTTCTATCCCAGCAGAGGTTTAACTCCGCTCCTTGTTTCTATAGAAGGTGGGAGGCAGCATGCGGCCTTGGAAACGTGCCTTCAGCGTCCTCCGCCATCACTCGCTCTTCCTTTACAAAGACAAGCGGGAGGCTGTGCTGCACGCCGCGGGGGCCGGCGGCAGCCAGGACGAACACCCGCCCGTCAACATCCGAGGCTGCCTGATCGACATCGCCTACAGCGAGACAAAGCGAAAGAACACCCTGAGGCTGACCACCCAGGACTTCTGTGAGTATCTGCTGCAGGCTGAAGACCAGGACGACATGCTGGCATGGATCAGGGTCATCAGAGAGAACAGCAAGACGGATAACGAGGTGAGGAGGAGATCAGTGGCTCACACGTTCCCCGCTCATCTACTCAGGCCTTATTTAGGCTTTCCCTTCCTTCCTTCCAGGAGATCGGTTTCTCCAGACAAGCTCTCATCAATAAGAAGCTGAACGACTACAGGAAAAACAGGTCAGGTGGGGCGCCATGTTCAGGGAAAAGGCTTTCGTTTCCATTGTGTAATCAGGTCACTGTGGGCTGGAAGCTTGTCAAAACCATCATTTCCCAGAAACCTTGTCTCACCCTTCTCTGTGTCTGAGACGAGCTGGTCCAATTGGGTTATCCTTTACTTCTATTCAGTTTATGTCTATATCATCAGTTCACAAGACCTGTCATCTTAAGGCACTTTCCAGTTCACCAGATCATCCAGTCAGATTGATTCAACAATTTCTATCTAAGGAAAACCAGCTGATTGCATCGACTCATTGCCTCTTCAGCAATCCCTCACACTAAGCATGCTTGTAGCGACAGTGGAGAGGAAAAACTCAATTTGAACAGGAAGAAACCTCCAGCAGAACCAGGCTCAGTGTGAGCGGCCATCTGCTGAGACCGACGGGGGTTCAAGGAGACAGAAGCAGACATAGAAAAAGAAGCATAGATACAAAAGCAGTGGGCTGCCATTGTGCGGCTCCCGGGGAACAGTGTCGGGTTAAGGGTCTTGCTCAGGGACCCAGAGTGGGGCTCAAACTCAGAACCTCTGGATTCCAAGTTCTATGCCCTAACCACCAAGCCGCCACAGAAAGGTTAGCAGAAACTTTTAGCATGTAGATTTTTCTTTAAAAATGTTTTTTTTTTATTTGCTAATGGATTAAGATGAATATCCTTTAAAATGAGAAGTTAATTAAAGTGCATATTAGCCAACTCTCTGGATCTGTGCTTCCTTAAATTTCCATAACCATTAGTTTAGCCTTTAGCGATGCTTTGATATCAGTTGCTAGTTTCAACATTTAGCCGTAGGCCTCCCTGGTGGACCATCAGAACCAGGCCTCTACATTGACTCTGTGCTCCTGTTTCCTTCTGTTTTAGTCTGACGGGCAACAAGCCGGATTCCTCGCCCAGAGCCCACCGCATGGTGCCCGACTTCCTCCTGGCTAAAACAGAACAGACGTCAGTGAGCCGAGCGCTCAGAGCCGGTGGGTGTCACCTTGTTTGTTTTTACTTTGAAAAGGCTTCCTGTATGTGACTCCATCAGGAACAGTTTGCAGCGCCAAACTGACCCGAACCCGCAACAGAATAATGTCAATGATGTCACCTACGGCACACTTTGCACCAGGAAATGCGGTTTTAGTGTCATAGAACCTGCCAGCAGAGCAGGAAAACACAAAGAGAGAATAAATAAAATCAGCTTCATGACTCAGCAGAAATGAATTCCTCTGATTTCGGATAGATTTGAGGAGCAACAACATGTTTGATTCCCATCAGGAATCGAACATGTTTGAAATCCAGTCGGCCGTCTTAAGGTGGTCGTGGGCAAATCGCTTAGTGGACAAACAAGGATTCTTCTTCTTCCTCTCAGATGAAAACCCAGCAGCATGGCGGGGGTGCAATGAGTGAAATGGAGTTCTTTCTGTCAAATTGACATATCGTAGTAGCCACGTTTGCTCAGCCATGTCTTTGTCCAAATACGTTGTCTCCTTTTCTTTTTAGGGCTTTCAGCACAAAATTGCCCAAATTGCCAAGGCAGCGCGTTTCACTCTAGTGAGCTTCATATTCCTCTTCTACTGGTTTGGCTTCTGGATAGACAAGTCAGAGCAGCGCCATCTCACTGCAGAGCTGAGTCCCACCTGGTTTTTAGACGCACAGTGTGAGCAGGTAGATCGCATCAGAGCGTCGGCTCGCACAGTGAGAACAAACATCGTGAGCTGGGAACTTTTAAACCCTGCAGTTTCATCGAACAGTTTGAGCCGTAGCTGCGTAAAAGAGAACAAAGAATTCTAAAATAAACTTAGACTTTATTGTCATTTTGTACACAGGGTGTATACAAAAAATCAAAAATTTCCATTTCTTAAAGTGCAGCAGTGATCAAATGTAAAAATGTGGGAGAAAAAAAACATGTTGACAAACGCATAGATTATTTTATTTTTTTTTTTATGCCTGGTTTGTAGCGTTCTGAACAGCTGAGTTAGTAGAGCTATACGCTGTACCGCTCTACCATTCATTTGATGGATTAAATGGTTAATTTTTTAAAATTCTTGGAATCTAAATTTCCCCTGCACTTCATAAATGAGCATTTTCACCAAACTTTTACTCAGAAAGATTTAAATAAAAAGATGTCTTTGTATTTGGTTTCAGACGACAACAAGGCTCTGTGGGGAATAAACCTCATGAAGAAAACTAAGAAAAGCTGCAGTCCCAAAGCCTTTGGGGTGAGACTGGAGGACTGTCAGCCTGCTGTCAACTATAAGGTGGGCAAAGAAATGTCCTTTTACTGAAGGGGCACTCATCATGCCTTTAACGCTTAAAGCGAAATAGATGATCATCCAGTTGAGAAGGTCAAAGAACCAGCAGTTTTCTATCCTTCCCGTTCAATGGCTGCCTTAATAGACCGGTTTTGTCCCAGCGACGCCCAGAAGGCCGACCCGCTCCACCAGTCCTTCTGGAAGTGATGCTTTATTGGGCTGACCTGAGGGAACATCTGTGTTTTCTAGTTCTACGTGTGGTGTTGTAAGCCGGAGGAGGTTTCAGGGCTCGGTTGTGTTGAGGCGAAAGGTTTAGGATTAGTTAGAATGATTTTGGGGCAAGAATATATGATTATTAAATTGTTTTTAGGGATTAGGATTAGTAAAGTGTCTCTAGTCCAGTTTTCTTTGCCAGAGGTTAGAATTAGGACAAAAGTGCGTCTTAGGTTTAGGTTTATGCTACAATTCAGACTGCAAGCAGCAGAGGCAGCAGAATCAGCAGGTTTCCATGCAAAGTCAATGGTTGACACGCATCAAGGTGCAGCAAAAGGTCCTGCAGCGTCTAGAACAGCGCCTCATGAGCATCTGAGGCGCTTCAGAAGCAGCAGCTGCTGAAGTTGAAAAATTAAACTTTAGCTGTTGGACCCTCCACATCAACCAATCAGAGAAGCTGATCTGAGAGCTGGCAGGGAGACAGACACAGCGCTGATGATACAGAGCGCTTGATAATCGACCAATCACATTCACTTTATTCACTCGTGTAAAGACGGGAACCACTCGAGAGAATTTGGAAATGCAACGGTTGGAACAGCCGCTTCCCTGCGATTTTCATAACGGCTAAATTAACTTAAAATGTAGATACCTGCCGTTAAACATGTTCGCTTTTATTACCCTGGTGCCTGCAGTTTGGATTACGTACATGAAAAACACCTTCCAGCCACAGTGGAAAACCCCAAGCGGCGAGCGGGCCTGAGGCAGCTGCTGCTGGGGATTCCCAGTGACAGTGCACCGCCGGTATGTGGGGGTCTGAGCGGCTCCCACAGAGAAATAATCTTTGAAGGCAGGGTGGTAATCTGGATGAACTGACTGCACAGACCATGTTTTCAGGAGGACTTTCTCACTTCAACATAGATTCAAACTACTTTTTACCCGCTGATCACAGCAAATATAGCTGCCATTGTTCCAGGCAGAGAAAGGATAGAGTAGACCCACTTTCCACCGCACAGCCAGAGTAGCAAAGATGCTTCAGCCGCACGTCAGAACTGCATTGGAGTCAGGGTTACGGTGCGGCCATAGGAAGGGTGGAAAACATGAACGCTTCTGGGGATCATTGAAACAAATTCGCTCTCCTCTCCATAGTTTGTCCCTCGTATTGTGGAGATGTGCTGCGGCGTGGTGGAGGCCACGGGTCTGGAGTACACCGGGATCTACCGCGTCCCCGGGAACAACGCCATGGTGTCCTGTCTGCAGGAGCACCTGAACAAGGGCCTGGACATGGACACCGCTGAGGAGGTGAGGGGAACTGGAAGGACGTGTCTCTTCAGGCCGGATCCAGATCAGGTTCTAACGCCTCTGTCTCTTTGTCCACAGAGGTGGCAAGATCTGAACGTCATCAGCAGCCTGCTGAAGTCGTTCTTTCGTAAACTGCCGGAGCCTCTGTTCACAGACGGTGAGTCTGAGCGAGCCGCTTTAATCCCGTTTGATTCGTTCGCTCTGTAATTTCCTGCCTTTCAGGATTGCTGAGTTTTTTTTGTCCGCAGATAAATATACCAGCTTCATTGAGGCCAACCGGATAGAAGATGCAGAGGAGAGATTAACAAGCATGAAGAAACTGGTGTGGAAATTCTTCTCCCGGTAAAATCTGCTGAGATTAAAGCCATAATTTCTCCTCACACTCTGTCCTCGGCTCCTTTCAGATCCTCGGCCTGCCAGATCATTATTACCACACCCTCAAGTTCCTGGTGGGTCACCTAAAGAGAGTAGCAGACCACTCAGAGAAGAACAAGGTAACCTTCAGTCCTCACGGTTCTCCTCAATCTCAACTTTGAATCCCTGACGGAGTTCTGTTGCTGCAGATGGAGCCTAGAAACCTGGCTCTGGTGTTTGGCCCCACCCTGGTGAGGACGTCAGAGGACAACATGACCGACATGGTCACCCACATGCCTGACCGATACAGAATAGTGGAGACACTGATCCTGCATGTAAGAACTCCCACCGCATCCTCAGAACCTGAAGAGAAGTTGAACTTGCGTTAAAAATGCTCCCGATTTGATTCTGCAGCATGACTGGATCTTCTGTGATGGAGAACTGGATCGAGAAGAGAAGGTGAGGTTCTCCCTCTGCTGATGAACGGACACCATGCAGGATCCAATTTTTTTATGATTGTGGGCGTCTGTGTGTCTGCAGACCTCAGAGGACAAAGGGGACGTCCAACCGGTCCCCAACATCGATCATCTGCTGTCCAACATCGGCAGGCCGGGCATGCCTGGAGACGCCTCAGGTGAGGAGGGGAATGCTGGTTGGTGAGGCGGCCACAGTGCCGCTGTAGAACCACCGGTGCTGAACGGCGCCGCTGCAGAACACCGCGGGCCTGTAGGCGCTCCAGAATGGCGCTGCTGCATAACGCCCTGGAGCCGCTGCAGAAGGCTCTCCTTTAGGACATGAAAGCGGATCACATATTTACGCACGTGAATAAAATAGTTCCAAATGTGATTGGGGGGAGTGGGGGCCTAGTGGTTAGGCCATAGGGCTTGGAATGCTGAGGTTGTGAGTACGATCTCCAATCCCACAGACTGCCACTGTGGGTCTCTGAGCAAGACCCTTAACCCCACACTGCTCCCTGGGCGCCGCACAATGGCCGCCCACTGCTCCCCAAAGGGATGGTTTAAATGCAGAGGTGAATTTCTCCAGTGTGAGATCAGTTCAATTAATATTATTTACATTATTATCCATATAATATTTAAATTTTAGTTAAAAAGTTAAATTATTCCCTAACTGGAAAAATTATGTTCCTATAATAATGGACAAAATTCACTCCATAACCAACCAGCCTCAACAATAGAAACGTTCATATGTTTGGAACACAGTAAATAAGCTAACAAGGTACCTACTCCGAAAACACGAGGAGCCTGGAACCATCGGGGGGGCGTGGTTACCTGGGGGAGCTCACCTCTCCACCAGTTCATAACCCCTCCACAGAGGCCTATCGAGGTGATACCATTTTGTACAAGTGTCTGAATATCTCGAAATTTCCCACAATGCACCTTGAAAAGCAGTGATCATCCATGGTCTCTAGATGAGCAGATATATCCCAGGTTGCTTTGCAAGAGCTCTCCTCGCAAAGCATCATGGGATTTGTTGTGGGGGCAATAAAGAGCAAAGATGGCGCAGGCAGCTTGGGAGGAGGCGGAGTCACATGACCAACGGGGTTAGTGGTGATCATCTGTTCGAACGGTCAGAACGGACAGAACTCAAGCAAAGCTGCTGCTTGCTTCTTCTCCATCTGTCCTCCATGTTCAGACCCATGCTCTGTGACTAAAAAGAGGTTTTCTTCCCAGCTGGGCTGTGAGTTATTGATCTGTCAGCGTTTCCTTCTCTCTCTCTCTGCTCTAGCTGAGACTCTGGATCGGCCTCTTCGGTAGGACCAGGTCTAAACGCTCTATCTCTGTGTTTTTTGGTGGCTTTGTCTTCGCTTCATCTCGTTGTTTCTGCCTGTTTCCCATCATTTCTGTCTCTCTGTCAGTAAAACCGTTGTGTGTGTTACTCATCAGTAGTGTTGAACAGATGATTAGACTCTGCATAGTTTCCTGTTGGGGTTTATGGAGGATGTTTAGATGTCACTGCTTCTAACGCTCGTCTCCTTTCCTTTGGTAGATTCCACCATCAGCGACTCGGTTAAACTGAAGGTAAGCAGACGGAGTTTCACATCTGATCACATTTCCAACATATGATCAATAATCCTCTAAATATTTTTAAAAATGTGATGGGATTTTGCTTAATATGTCATAAACTAAAGTATTTGGTGCATCTAGTTGGAGCATCCTATAATTATTAATAAAAGTTAAAGCAAATGTTACAGCTATCATTGTGCTTTCTGACTGATTTCCAGAGCAGTAAGGGGTAAGTGTAGGTAGCAAACAATCAGGATAAACAGGTCAATCACTTATTTACAGATGGGAACTTTGTGAAAACAACGGTTTCACAGGGTGCGCATGTGAACAAAGGAATTAACAGATGGATTTGGAACAATTCATGGTGAAAACCCATGTTTTTAGATATGGATCACATATTTTACATGGGATAGACATGTGAATAAAATATTTCCACATGTACAATCATGACATCCACATATAAGTTTAAAAAAAAACATGTTTTTTCTCTAGAAATTGTTCCAAATCAGGCTTCATACAGTACATGTGTTTTTATATCATATATGTTTACATTTGGAAACATGTGAGACTAATGTGAAACCAATTGTTTCACATGTGAAAATTGTGGGGTTTCCTTCATGTAAAATGTGTTGTTTTACATTGAAAAATGTGACGATTCCTCGTGTAAAATATGAGGTTTCATATGTCAAATATTTGGTTTCACATGTGAAAACATTGTGTTACAAATTTTTGGTCACATGGTTCACTGGAAATACGATTTAGTAATAATTTTTAAATGTCTTAATTTAAGTGGATTTACCCTTAATTTGAGTAGGTAAATGAGATAGTTTGCCAATGGAATCGGCATTTTTACTCTTAAAATAAGATAATTAGATAATATACACTTAAAATAAAAAAAAATGCAATTGTGTTTTCTTATTTTAAGTGTAAATTGTCTTGTTCCATTGGCAAAATGTCTCTCTTACCTCCTCAATCAATGCACTTATTTTAAGAAAAACATGACTTATCTAGATGTCGATTATTTCCAGTGTTTTTCTTGTGAGTCGCCTTAGTTCACATGTGGAAAGTGGTTTATACAACATGTGAATCCATCCCTAAATATTCTGCCAAAAAGACTCAGGTCACTGATTTCTGGGCTTCATTGTTTCAGATTTCTTCCAGCTCCAAGAAAGACCTGAACGCCATGGATTTCCTCCCCAAATCCATCATCTCTGCTGTGACCCGCAAACGTAAAAAATGTCCCAGCGCTCATCTGGCGGTCAGCAGCGGCGATGAAGACTCTGAGCACGAACCGGTCAAGAATACCAGCTACAGAGAGGGGGGTGGAGGGGGGGCTCAGGAGGCGGCTCAGGGGGAGCGCACCTGCTCCAAAAAGGAGAAGAGACAGGGGGAGGAAGATGTGGGGAGACCAGCAGAGAGAGGAGGAGGAGGAGGAGGAGAGGAGATGAAGGACAGGAAGATCAGGCAGAGAAGCAGTTTGATCCCCCCCCCTCAGCAGAGTCATTCCACACACCCCCCACCACAGCTGAAGACTCCCAGTGAGGCCAGAGGACGTCCCAGTATTCCCTACTGGGTGGCCCCCAGCCGGCCCCCTGCCCTGCAAACGTCCAGCTGCCAGCAGCCAGAACGGAACCAGGCCGTCCGCTACAGGAGAACCAGAGGGGCTCGGACCAGGGCCACCTCCGTCAATCTGGACCTGGAGCTGGGCCAGCGCGAGGATTTAGTCAGAGGTCAGAGGGCAGACAGACTTCAGCGTGGCGGGGCCGCAGAGGGAGGCTCAGGGCAGCAGGTCGACCCCCTCCCTACCTTCCCTTCTCCTCCAGGAGCGACGGAGCAGACGTCCTCCTCTGTGGTGTTAAGGAGATCAGCTCCAGATGCTCAAGCCAAGAACAGGGCGCTGCGGCGCCACACTGTGGTCATTTAAAGAAGAAAAAAAACTAAAGTTTACTAACCGACGTCTGCTCACAGGTTTTCCTGCTAAAGCAGGACGGTGAGCCTTCGTTAATCTCTCCACCCCAGACCTTTACGCCCAAATAACCAGCTGTTAAAAACAACTTTATATAACCTAAGAAAGAGTCCGTGTTCCTATATTTAACTAAAACTAAACCAAAAAACAGAAACCCTTAGTGCAACAGAGTCCATCCATACTCCTCCACAGGAAGAAGGGAAGCAGAAAGCATCCTTGCATCTGATGCGTGGATGAACTCACAGGCAGCAGAGGGAAAATTCATCTGAAGCTGGAGTTTGTTTGATTAGAGGTGGAAAGGCGTCAGCGATGATGTCGTGATTCTTGTTCCTCCTCCAAGTTTTAGAGCGGATCCCCTCAGTGAAACAAACAAGCTCAGAACTTTGAAAAATAGACTTGCAAACACAAGAATGACTATAAACTGAAAAATGAGACTAGCAAATTCAAAGGTCACACTAACATAAGGAGAAAAGCTGCGGTTACAGTAAATAGAGATCAACAAAGTGGAAATGAAAAAAATGATGGGTTAAAGAAGCAGCACAGCAGAAGCTCCACTAGGGGGCAATCATCAGTGTTAACTCATATTGGTGGTTTTTCTTCACTTGAGTTTATTTTTTGTGTTTGCAGGACTTTTTAAATTTGCAGTGAGATGCATATCATCCATTTATGCGGCGTTTGCACTCCTGGGCCTCCGTAGCTCATTGCTGCAGAACAGTGTTAACAATTTGTATTCAAGATAAAAACTCATGTGCTTCAGCAGTTTGACGTGCTTGTTTAACCTGAGGCAGATCAGCATTTGTACCATTTTCAATTTACTCATCAGATTTTGAAAAGCAAAGGCTTTATTAGGCTTTAAGCTTTCTGTGTCAAAATGTCTTACCTGCCTTATCACAGTAAACCAAAAGCTCAATAAAAAAAGAGACTTTTTATTTCTTTGGAAATAAACTGAACCAACATAATTAGCTCTGAAACAAATGAATAGAGATTTTAAAATATATCTAAAACCCAAGCCTTCCAAGGCGCTGACAGATCCTCCCATTGGTCTGCAAAGGAACGGACCCACTGATCCATAAAGCATTTAGATGGAAAAACCCTCCGTCCGCCACTAGGCTGCCAAATGTCTCATTTATGTGTCAGAGTACATGGTCTGCTAAACGTCCCCGCGTTTACCGCTTCCACTCCACTGTCATTGGAGAGCAGAGGCCATGCAGGAAACAGTCCAAACCAGTTTAAAGTCAGACCAGTTTAAAGTCTACAGTCAGACCAGTTTAAAGTCTACAGTCAGACCAGTTTAAAGCCAACAGTAAGACCAGTTTAAAGTCTACAGTCAGACCAGTTTAAAGCCAACAGTAAGACCAGTTTAAAGCCAACAATCAGACCAGTTTAAAGTCTACAGTCAGAGCAGTTTGAGGCCAACAGTCAGACCAGTTTAAAGTCTACAGTCAAACCAGTTTAAAGCCAACAGTCAGAGCAGTTTAAAGCCAACAATCAGACCAGTTTAAAGTCTACAGTCAGAGCAGTTTAAAGTCTACAGTCAGACCAGTTTAAAATATACAGTCAGACCAGTTTAAAGTCTACAGTCAAACCAGTTTGAAGCCAACAATCAGAGCAGTTCAAAGCCAACGATCAGACCAGTTTAGAGTCTACAGTCAGACCTGTTTAAAGTCCACAGTCAGACCAGTTTAAAGCCAACAGTCAGAACAGTTTAAAGCCAACAATCAGAGCAGTTTAAAGCCAACAATCAGAGCAGTTTAAAGCCAACAGTCAGAGCAGTTTAAAGCCAACAATCAGACCAGTTTAAAGCCAACAATCAGACCAGTTTAAAGCCAACAGTTAGACCAGTTTAAAGCCAACAATCAGACAAGTTTAAAGTCTACAGTCAGACCAGTTTAAAGCCAACAATCAGACCAGTTTAAAGCCAACAGTAAGACCAGTTTAAAGTCTACAGTCAGACCAGTTTAAAGCCAACAGTAAGACCAGTTTAAAGCCAACAATCAGACCAGTTTAAAACCAACAATCAGACCAGTTTAAAGTCTACAGTCAGAGCAGTTTGAGGCCAACAGTCAGACCAGTTTAAAGTCTACAGTCAAACCAGTTTAAAGCCAACAGTCAGAGCAGTTTAAAGCCAACAATCAGACCAGTTTAAAGTCTACAGTCAGAGCAGTTTAAAGTCTACAGTCAGACCAGTTTAAAATATACAGTCAGACCAGTTTAAAGTCTACAGTCAAACCAGTTTGAAGCCAACAATCAGAGCAGTTCAAAGCCAACGATCAGACCAGTTTAGAGTCTACAGTCAGACCTGTTTAAAGTCCACAGTCAGACCAGTTTAAAGCCAACAGTCAGAGCGGTTTAAAGCCAACAGTCAGAACAGTTTAAAGCCAACAATCAGAGCAGTTTAAAGTCTACAGTCAGACCCGTTTAAAGTGTACAGTCAGACCCGTTTAAAGCCAACAGTCAGAGCAGTTTAAAGCCAACAATCAGACCAGTTTAAAGCCAACAATCAGAACAGTTTCAAGTCTACAGTCAGACCAGTTTAAAGCCAACAATCAGACAAGTTTAAAGTCTACAGTCAGACCCGTTTAAAGTGTACAGTCAGACCCGTTTAAAGCCAACAGTCAGAGCAGTTTAAAGCCAACAATCAGACCAGTTTAAAGCCAACAATCAGAACAGTTTCAAGTCTACAGTCAGACCAGTTTAAAGCCAACAATCAGACAAGTTTAAAGTCTACAGTCAGACCCGTTTAAAGTGTACAGTCAGAGCAGTTTAAAGCCAACAATCAGACCAGTTTAAAGCCAACAATCAGACAAGTTTAAAGTCTACAGTCAGACCCGTTTAAAGTGTACAGTCAGAGCAGTTTAAAGTCTACAGTCAAACCAGTTTGAAGCCAACAATCTGAGCAGTTCAAAGCCAACGATCAGACCAGTTTAGAGTCTACAGTCAGACCTGTTTAAAGTCCACAGTCAGACCAGTTTAAAGCCAACAGTCAGAACAGTTTAAAGCCAACAATCAGACCAGTTTAAAGCCAACAATCAGACCAGTTTAAAGCCAACAATCAGAGCAGTTTAAAGCCAACAATCAGACCAGTTTAAAGCCAACAATCAGACCAGTTTAAAGCCAACAATCAGACCAGTTTAAAGCCAACAATCAGAGCAGTTTAAAGTCTACAGTCAGACCCGTTTAAAGTGTACAGTCACCCGTTTAAAGCCAACAGTCAGAGCAGTTTAAAGCCAACAATCAGACCAGTTTAAAGCCAACAATCAGACCAGTTTAAAGCCAACAATCAGACCAGTTTAAAGCCAACAATCAGACAAGTTTAAAGTCTACAGTCAGACCAGTTTAAAGCCAACAATCAGACCAGTTTAAAACCCACAGTCAGACCAGTTTAAAGCCAACAATTAGACCAGTTTAAAGCCAACAGTCAGACCAGTTTAAAGCCAACAGTCAGAGCAGTTTAAAGCCAACAATCAGACCAGTTTAAAGCCAACAATCAGCCCAGTTTAAAGCCAACAATTAGAGCAGTTTAAAGTCTACAGTCAGACCAGTTTAAAGCCAACAGTCAGACCAGTTTAAAGCCAACAATCAGACAAGTTTAAAGTCTACAGTCAGACCAGTTTAAAGCCAACAATCAGACCAGTTTAAAACCCACAGTCAGACCAGTTTAAAGCCAACAATTAGACCAGTTTAAAGCCAACAGTCAGACCAGTTTAAAGCCAACAGTCAGAGCAGTTTAAAGCCAACAATCAGACCAGTTTAAAGCCAACAATCAGCCCAGTTTAAAGCCAACAATCAGAGCAGTTTAAAGTCTACAGTCAGACCAGTTTAAAACCAACAGTCAGACCAGTTTAAAGCCAACAATTAGACCGGTTTAAAGCCAACAGTCAGACCGGTTTAAAGCCCACAGTCAGAGCAGTTTAAAGCCAACAGTCAGTGCAGTTTAAAGCCAACAATCAGACCGGTTTAAAGCCAACAGTCAGAGCGGTTTAAAGTCAACAGTCAGAGCAGTTTATAGCCAACAGTCAGACCGGTTTAAAGCCAACAGTCAAACCGGTTTAAAGCCAACAGTCAGACCAGTTTAAAGCCAACAGTCAAACTGGTTTAAAGCCTACAGTCAGAGCGGTTTAAAGCCAACAGTCAAACCGGTTTAAAGCCTACAGTCAGACCAGTTTAAAGCCAACGGTCAGACCGGTTTAAAGCCAACAGTCAGAGCAGTTTAAAGTCTACAGTCAGAGCAGTTTAAAGTCTACAGTCAGACCAGTTTAAAGCCAACAGTCAGAGCAGTTTAAAGCCAACAATCAGACCAGTTTAAAGCCAACAGTCAGACCAGTTTGAAGCCAACCGTTCCAACATGGAAGTTTCAGACTTCCACTTTGAAACTCTAGTTTTCCAAAAACCGAATGGAGCTGAACCGACTGCATCTCTGTGTCCTTTCAATATCTGGTGTCTGAGTTTCATCCTGCACAAACCGATTTTGTAACTGTTGTATAAAATCCTTTGTAACCTTTTAAATATACAAATATAATTTATTAAATTATTTGTTTGGCAATAATTTGTTCATTTGTTGTAATTGAAGCTTGTTTCTGGGATGAGAATTTATTAAAGGAAATCATTTCCATCAACCGAAAATCTGAAGTAATGCAACCAAACAGAAGGAAAGACATTTTCTTCAACATAACTGCTTCATCTTCCTGGTTTTTTTGCCCTCCTGACGGCAGGAGAGGCAGAACATCTCAGCGTACGGCAAGACGGAACGTAAAGGTTTGAAACGCTCCCGAAGGATGAGAGAGACTTATTCAATGTTGTTGAAAGAGAAGAACGTTTCAAAAATGGAAATTTAAAGAAAATGGGTTTTAAAATAAATTAAATCAAGTTTTGAAAGTAAAACGTTTAACCAGTATTTTCAGTTTGACATTATTGCAGGTTTGATTTTCCAAATTTTTTATTTTATTTTATTTTTTTTGTGTGTAATGAATAGTTTTACTGTTTTATTCTTTTCTAATATTTGTTCGACTAATACTGAAACCAAAGAACAAAATTCAAAAAAGGAAGTTGAAAGAAAAAACATTTAAAATAGAAATAGAAAAACATGTAAAAAGAACTTTTAAGTTTTTCTTTTCTTCCAGATTAAATGTATTAAATTTTAGGATTTTACTTGTTGTATTTTTTGGTAAGAGGTTTCTATCTGGAATTAAAGGAAGTTTCAAACTGAGATAATCAAACACAAACATGAGATCAAAACTTTCAAATCTGTGAAACTGAAAAGAAGTCATTTGTTATTCCATCAGTATCTGTACAAAAATAAAACTATTTAAATATTAAACCCAAACAGGAAACTATAAAATATTCAGATAAATGACTCTCCAAACCGGTTAGAAATGTGTTCTTTGCTTTTAATAATATTAGAGGATAGAGTTTAAAGTCCTAAACGATCAAATAAACCAAACTGATCTGAATCTGGATTAAAATCATTAAAATGGGAAACATCAAAGTTCTAATTAGTTGATTAAATTCAGCCTTTTTATTCACTGCCTTTATTTTAGCGCCTCCACCCTGTAAGGAGCTCAGAATATGGCAGCAGAGCCATGATTCATTTCGGGTGAAGCGGATTGGTCAATCTCAGGGGGAAAAACTTCCAAACCCGCGTTCTGTGACCAGAAACAAACTTTTAAGAGGCTTTTTGGCAGATTGCTGAATTCAAATATTTACTCTGTTAATTAAGATTATTTGATTAAAAGTAGCAGCTCAGCTCATTTCAGCAGCTAAACTGGTTTTTATGTCTTTAATGTTTATTGAGTGCATTTTTTCCTGTTACTGTTGCCGAGAGCGCTTTCAAAATGCAAAAAAAATCTAGACATGAAAATTTTCTTAATACAAAAAAAAAGTTTTGTGAAAATACTTTCCCTATTTTGTCAAGATTTATTTTCCACTTTTCAGAACGAGTTTAATGAATTGCATTCTTTTTTTATTGCCTTGAGCTTAAAGTGAAGAGAATATCAGGAAAACTATTTAATAAGAGTTCAATTCATAAAATCTAAATTTCCATTAAAAAAAACGTGTTCTTTGCTGCAACAATAATGGAGGAAAATCCCCTTTAGGTCCCACTGCTGATAGGAGAGACTTCAATAGTCAAAGAGCAGGAATCATTTTCATTGGTCAGGAGTCTAAACAAGCCTTCAAGGATTACGGCGGAATAATCCCACCGTCTGTCGGTCTTAATCTGGTCACAGCGGCCTCAGCTGGACCCCATCAAGCAGAGGTTGATTCAGACCTGGTCAGCAGAATGTTGGGTAAAAACTGAAGAGGCGTTTATTTAACCCTCAGAGATTCTATTTCACTTTATTAAAACGATAAATCACAGGAAGTTCTTCGTCTGAAGAAAGGAGCTTCAATCAGATGCTGGGAAGTTTGGGGAGCAAAAACTTCTTCCTATGTCCATCTGGGGGAGGGGCTTTGTCATGACAACGTGCGGCTCCTCTGGTGGGCCTTCCTCAGCAGGTAGACCAGACCCTGTGCGACGAACGGCCACAGCATGAAGAGAAGAACCGTCTGACACGACACGTCGAAAGGCCACCACGCCTCCTCCTGGAGGGGAAAGAAAATAACATGACCACCACGTTACCAGAGCCGCCACGGAACCAGAGCCGCCACGGAACCAGAGCCGCCACGGAACCAGAGCCGCCACGGAACCAGAACCGCCACGTTACCAGAGCCGCCACGGAACCAGAGTCGCTGTGACACAGGCTGCTGCAGAACATGAACCAGAACCAGGAACCTTCAGCAAAGGTTCCTGGATCAGAGCAAGCCTATTTTATTTTTATAGCACAATTCAGTACATTCAGTACAATTGAAAGCGCTTTACATAAATTAGATAATAGAAAAAATTTGAAAAATAAAATTGAAAACATTTGTAAAATAAATAAAACAATTGGACCACAAGAAAGCAGAATAAAAGCCAGTGAAAAATAAAATAAATAATAAAAAAAAAGGCATGAGGAAACAGAACAGAGCTACGGGGCTAAATAAGGGCCATAAATTAAAGATGTTTCTGGTTCCCAAGGTTCCTGAACGCAACAGTTATTCATATTTTGTTCAGTCGCTTTAGGCCGGGCGTACACTGTAAGATACTTTCAATCGTTGCACGCAGCTACAGTTCAAACTGCATGAGGGAAACGCAGGGTTTAAAATTTCCCAGCTCACCACGTTTGTTCTCACACTGTGCGACCCGACGCTCTGATGCGATCTACCTGCTCACACAGTACGTCAAAAAACCAGGTGGGACTCAGCTCCGCAGTGAGATGGCGCTGCTGGGACTCAATGTGGAAGAAGAAGAGGAAGAGCTGCTTTGTTGACACACACGCAGTTAGCTAGGTTCTGGTAAATCGGCTCGTAGCTCAGCTTCAGCAGCAGGATTTACCCACCAGCACCTCATGAGGGACGACTGAATATCAAACGTTTTATTTTTTTTCGACCTTACGATTTCTGATGGGGAGGTGGTTGTTAAAGGAAAAGTTCAGTCATATTCAGAATTCAAACTTCTGAAAGTCCTTTAAATATTAAATTATTCCATCCTGTTCAATAAATGATCAGTGTTTTTAATTCAGAGTGATTTTCATGTGAATGTGCTTTACTGGAGGCATCCATGTTTGTCAAAGAACACTACTGCCACCTACTGGTTAGTGACGTCACGGTGCGGTATCGGCTGTTGATCAAGTCCCAGTGCTGTATCTGGTGTTTGTCACAACGCGCTATTATCCAAGTCATCTTGAAAACATTCTTCTTCCAAATGTTGGCTACATATTACGGGTTTTTTTTTCTGGCCAGAAGTTCGATGGCAAATCCTCCCTCTTCAAGTTGGCAATCCAACGACCAACCTGTCCATGGAGGATCAGGAATCAGAAAGGTGAGATAACGCTTTTTTTCACTGTTACCCGATATATTGCAGCATCCAGCTGCCATGCACGTGGGCATTGTCAGTTTCACTATAGCTCTGGTGAATTTCAATGGTGAAGTCCTCTGGAAATCTTCAATAATTGTTGTTGATTGCAGATGTGTCTAGTAGTTCCCATTGATTTAGCTTGTAAAGCGGGAAGAATGGCGCTAGGCTTACCGCACCGTGACGTCACTGCTGGAAGATGGCAGGAGGAGGGGTTACTATATTAGGACAAAAATGGCCGCTCCCAGACTCTGTGATCGCCACGAAAATTATTGCTGTTATTTTTTTACTGATTAGCGCTAAATTCATGTGACCGTATTAGTCTTAGGGATAAGTAACGATCCACTGATTATTCCTGCTGACCAGAATTTTCCTTTAAATGCTAATTTAAAGGACGTAAGGCGAACCATGAGGCTAAAACTCAACCTACTTCAGAAAAATCTCACACAACTGAAGAATCGGCCCTAAAAAGGAAAAAACTCATACAGTGTACGCCCGGCTTTGCCTGTCAGTCATCCTTCCAGTGTCTTCAAAGCCCTGCCCCCATGCCCAAGGTGGCAGAAGTGTAAAAGTAGAAAAACTGAAACTAAGAAAAAAATATATAAGATCTGATAGGAAAAAAAATATAAAACTTTAGCTTTAAAAATGTACTTTTAAGTTTGATTTTCAAAATTATTTCTGTTCTGAAATGATTAGCTACACAGTAAAACGCTTGTCACTGATCATAGCCACGGTCTGTTTGCTTAAATAATCAAAACTGAAGTCTTAAATTTACCTAAAAGATTGGTTGAGATTCTGAAGATGCTGAAATACAAAAAAAGCCAGATTCCTCCCCGAGTCACAAGGTTTTTAGGAAGCTAGATGTCAGACAGAACCAGAAGACAGGAAGCCTTGGAGACCCGACTTTCCAGGAAGTCCTCTGAAGCCAGATGGTCCTCCCATCACTGCTGCTTTTACCAAAGATGAAAGAAAACCACTGACCTACTGCAGAAATGCTGCCATTTGTTTGGGAAACTAAAGGCTTCATAGAAAATATCACAGCAGGAAGTGATGGAAAGTTTCCTGAAGGTCATTCATTGGTTCTGATCCAAAGGAGGACTGATTGGTGGAACCAACTACCAGTTTTAGTCCGTGAGGCAGACACCCTGTCTACTTTTAAGGCTAGGCTTAAAACTTTCCTTTTTGATAAAGCTTATAGTTAGAGTGGCTCAGGTTATCCTGAGCTATCTCTATAGTTATGCTGCTATAGGCTTAGACTGCTGGAAGACATAGGGACCCCTTTTTCATCATTTTGCTTCATTCTATCTCCATTCTCCCACTCTGCAGAATCTGTTAGTTCAATCTCTAACGTTCTGCTCTCTCTGCTTTTTCTCATAGTAGCTTCATCTGGTCTGTTCCTGTTTGGCTGTGACTCCATCCTGGAGAGAAATATCAGCTGTGCTGCTGCCATCAACACCTTTGTTTCTAGATGTTGGAGCTTGGCCTGTTTTTCAGTGTAGTCCTGTTTCTCTGACTGTGACTAACTGGATGTGCTCTCTTCATCCTGACATGGGAGCTGGCTCGGAGCTCGTCTGCCTGGCAATCAGCAGACAGCTTTCCCCGAAAATTGTCTAAAGTGGCTTTGCTTCGCCTGAGGAACATTTCATGACCAAAACTTTCAGAGATAGGTTTTCTGTCCGGTTGCAGCCGGTTCTGTTAGATGAGCTTACCCGGTCAGACCATCATACCTATAATCAAGACCCATTTATCCCTTTAGTTTTGTGCGAAAAATAGACTTTAAACTACCTCAACAGCCGTGCATCCCTTTAGTCATGTACCAAAAACTATTTAATTACTTGCTTTATGTTTTTTTTTTAAGCGTATTGCAATCTGACCTTAAATAATTTTTTTTTGAAACATACTAAATGAAAAACGGAAATTTTCTGACGTCTTTTTGCATACGTATTGACTATGGGCCCCGCTGCCCTGGTCTGACAGATAAAGCCGCCCTCGTACCCTCACCTCAGCATCTTGGCTGAAACCGCGGGCGGGGCCCCTCCTTTCCCTGACCCCTGTGGGGGGTCAAACAAACCCCGTTCAAAAGTTCACAGAAAAATTTCAAACACTAAAACAAACCCTTAAATTTGGATTCGAAAACCCACAGGGAAGTGGCAGCGAGCCTTCTCCACCGCCTCCACCCCGGGTCCAAAACGCTCCTCATGTCCTCCCCTGACCCCCTCCGGGGGCCCCCGGGAATGTTTCTTTTGCTGCGGGTGCGTTGGGAAATCCTCTCAGCTCCACCCCTGACCCGTCCCCCCCCTTTCCGAAGCCCCCCCCCCACCGCCCCCCGGAAAAGCCCCCGGGGCCCCCCCCTGGGGGTTCCCCCTTGGGGAAAATCCCCCCTTGGACCAAGAAGGTCAGGGGGGCCCCCCATTAAAATTTAAATTTCAGTTTTTTTTATATACCCCCCAAAATTCAAAAAAACAGGGTCACCCTTAAAGGGCACTTTACAGTTAAAACCCCAACCCTTCCGTAAAATTTTTTTTTTCAAATTTTTCCCTATCAAAGGAAAACCAGTTGATTGCATTGACCCCTTTGGGAACCAAATAAAAACCCCCCAAAACAAAAGCATGCTTGTAGCGGGAAATGTGAGAGGAAAAACTCCCTTTTAACAGGAAAAAACCTCCCGCAGGGAAACCCGGGTCAGTGTGAGCGGCCCCTCTGGGCCCAGGCCGGGCCCGGGGTTCAAAGGGGACAGAACAGAGATTTCAAAAAGCAGCTGTAAAAGGCGGCCCCCTCCAGGAAACCCCAAAAGCCCAGGCAGACGACTTCCCAAAGGGGGGCTCCCCCTGCCCCGGGGGAAAGAAGAGAGCCTTCCAATTTGTCCCCGGTCCGAGAAACCCGGACCACAAATGGAAAACAGGCCGATCTCCAACAACTTTTTAAAATGGGTTTGTAGAAGCAGAAAAAGCTAATGTTTTTTTCCAGGGGTGACGTCCCCAGCCAAACAGGAAAAGACGAGGCAAAAACTACTTGAGGAAAAGCAGAGAGAGAGGGAAAGGGTTTGAGAAATTTAACTAAAAAGATTCTGCGAATAAAAAGGGGAACAGAGAAGAATGAAGCAGAATGGGTGAAATGGGGGGCCCTATGTCCTCCAAAAATCTAAACCTTTTAGCAGCATAACTATAGGGGAGAGCTCAGGAAACCAGCCACCCAAATAAGCTTTAATTTAAAAAAGAAAGTTTTAAAAACCTTTGCCTTAAAAGTAGAAAGGGGGTCTGGCCCCCACGGACTAAAAAATGGTAGTTGGTTCCAAAAAGGAGGGGGAGCCTGATAAAAAAAGATCCCTCCCCCTTCTACTTTTAGAAATTCTAGGGAAAACCACTAGTAAACCTGCAGATTGAGAGCGAAGTGCTCTGTTGGGAACATAAGGAACAATCAGATCTCTGATATCAGATGGAGCTTGGCCATTTAAGGCTCTATATGTGAGAAGGAGGATTTTAAATTCTATTCTTGATTTAACAGGAAGCCAATGAAGAGAAGCCAGGATAGGAGAGATATGATCTCTATTTTTCATTTTCATCAGAACTCTGGCTGCAGCATTTTGGATCAGCTGAAGGCTTTTAACTACAGTTTGTGGACTTCCTGATAGTAAAGAATTACAATAGTCCAGCCTTGAAGTAACAAATGCATGGACTAGTTTCTCAGCATCCCCCCTGGACAGGATATTTCTAATTTTTGCAATGTTCCTCAGATGAAAGAAGGAAATTCTAGAAACCTCTTTGATATGGGATTTAAATGACAGGTCCTGATCAAAAATAACACCAAGATTTTTTACTTTATTATCTGAAATCAGTTTAATCCCATCCAAATGAAGTGACTGGCTAATCAGTTTCTTTTTCAGAGACTCTGGTCCAAAGACTATAACTTCTGTTTTGTCTGCATTCAGAAGCAGAAAATTAAGAGTCATCCAGGTTTTTATGTCTTCAAGACATGCCTGTAATCTATGTAATGGGTTAGCTTCATCTGGATTTATAGACAGATATAGCTGGGTATCATCAGCATAACAGTGGAAATTAATCCCATGCTGTCTAATAATTCTACCAATTGGGAGCATGTATAAAGTAAAGAGAATTGGTCCTAGCACTGATCCCTGTGGTACTCCACAGGTAACCTTTGAGCGTGTTGAAGATCTATCATTAACATGAACAAACTGAATTCGATCAGATAGATAAGATTTAAACCAGTCTAGTGCTGTTCCTTTAATTCCAACAAAATATTCAAGTCTTTCTAAAAGAATATTATGGTCAACTGTATCAAATGCAGCACTAAGATCCAACAGGACGAGCACAGATACAAGTCCATTATCTGAGGCCATGAGAATATCATTAGTGACTTTCACCAGAGCTGTTTCAGTGCTATGATGAGCTCTAAAGCCAGACTGAAACTCTTCAAAAAGTTCATTATGGTGGAAGTGATCGCAAACTTGTTTGGCAACTACTTTCTCAAGAATTTTGGATAAGAAAGGAAGATTGGATATAGGTCTATAATTGACCAAGTCATCTGGGTCAAGAGACGGTTTCTTAAGCAGAGGTTTAATTACAGCAATCTTAAAAGCTTTAGGTACATATCCCTGTAACAGAGATAGATTAATCACATCTAAAATGGAGGAGGAGATCAAAGGGAATACCTCCTTAAATAACCTGGTTGGAACTGGATCTAACATACAAGTTGAAGGCTTAGATGAAGACAATAATTTTGCTAATTCAGAGAGTTCAACTGGATCAAAGCAGTCTAAACCCGGTTCAGATTCCATGACTACCTCAGGTACAATCGCGGATAGAGGAGTGCTTATGATCTTATTTTTAATAAGATCAATCTTATTTATAAAGAATCCCATAAAATCATTGCTGCTAAGAGCAGGTGGAATGGACGGTTCAACAGAGCTATGGCTCTGGGTGAGTTTGGCAACTGTATTAAAAAGAAATCTAGGATTATTCTTATTCTCCTCTATTAATGAGGAGAAGTATGCTGCTCTTGCTTTACAAAGGGTCCTCTTATACAACAGTAAACCATTTTTCCAGACTAGGAAGGACTCCTGCAGGCCTGTGGAGCGATATTTTCTCTCCAGTTTCCTAGCATTTTGCTTCAAAGTATGCAGCTCTGCATTAAACCAAGGAGCAAGCTTTCTATTTTTAACGGTTTTCATTTTCAAAGGAGCTGCGTTGTCTAAGGCAATACGCAGAGAACTAGCAACCCCCTCAACAAAATCATCAACCTGTGAAGGGGAATAAGCTAAGCTTTTGCACTCTGCAGCACTGCTCAGTGACACAGAGCAGAGAGAAAGTGAAGCAGATTCTTTAAAATTTATAACTGCACTATCTGATAAAGATCTACTAAAATTGAACCTTCTTTTGGGGGAGGAGAACTCTGTTAAAGTAATCCTGAAGGTTATTAGAAAGTGGTCAGAGAGGACAGGGTTGTGAGGAAATACTGTTATTTCTTCACATTCTATGCCGTATGTCAGCACAAGATCCAAAGTATGAAGATGAGAATGCGTGGGACTATTCACATTTTGAACAAAGCCAATAGTGTCTAAGATAGCATTAAAGGCTGCTCTTAAGCTGTCGCCTTCAATGTCAGCATGGATGTTAAAATCTCCCACTATGATGACCCTGTCAGTATTTAATACCAAATCAGAAAGGAACTCTGAAAACTCATCTAAAAATTCAGAGTAAGGACCTGGTGGACGATACAAAGTTACAAAAAGAAGAGGTTTTCTTGCCTTGAAATTTGGATCAGGGAAATTAAGGGTTAAATGTTCAAAAGAGTTGTAGGAATTAATTGTTTTGGGAGTAATCAGTAAGTCAGACTCGAAGATTGTTGCTACTCCTCCTCCTCGCCCAGAACTTCTGGGGATGTGAAAATTTAAATAGCTTGAAGGAGTTGCCTCATTTATGCTCACATAATCCTCTTGCTGCAGCCAGGTTTCTGTAAGGCAAAACAAGTCAATGTGATTATCACAAATCAAGTCATTAACTAGTAGACTTTTAGAGGAAAGAGATCTTATGTTAAACAGACCGCATTTAATTGTTTTAACTTTTTCCCCAATTGAAGTTATTTTGATTTTAATTAGATTATCATGATTTACTCCTTTGGGAATCTTTGCTAATTTATTAGATTTTGGTCGTGGGCAAGACACTGTCTGGATGGAGTAAAGAGTGGGTAACAGTAGAGAAGCTGCAGAGATGTGTGTTAAACTACAACTCTGCTTCCTGGTCTGCACCCTGGGTGGTCAGGGTTTTGGAGGACTAATAAATGTGGCCAGATTCCTAGAAAGAAGAGCTGCACCATCCAAAGTGGGATGGATGCCGTCTCTCCGAATCAGACCAGGCTTTCCCCAAAAGGATTGCCAATTATTAATGTAGCCCACGTTGTTTTCAGGGCACCACCTAGACAACCAGCGATTGAATGACGACATGCGGCTAAACATGTCATCACTGGTCAGATCAGGGAGGGGACCAGAGAAAATTACGGAGTCCGACATTTTTTTGGCAAACTTACACACCGCCATTCAGACGGAGTATGGAGAGAAATTTGGTCCAACATTGATAAAAGCAAAGAACAGGTTTAAAATTGTAAAAATTGTTTTTTTTCATTTTATATGCTGAAAATCTGATAAAATTCTTTCCAGCTGTAATAAACACTGACTGAATAGAAAAACATAAGATAAAATAAAGCAGAAACTTATTAGGTTACAGGACAAATAAAATCTGTAATAATGATTGCAGCTCTGAACACTTCATTTATGATGTTGTCACACCTTGACGATTTAGCCAGAGTGTGCCCATATATGAAAAATCTGGCAAAAACACTGGCAAAAGTAGGATAAGTTATGGCTTAGTTTTGTATAAGTTATGAGCATGCTGAAACACGCTGAAGTACATTGATATATGGCGAGAACATTCCAGCGTCTGCCATCTGTTGGCCATCAGTTCCAGGTCAGTTATCTGATGGTTGACATACGTTCAGTGTCAGTTCCTCATCAGTCGTGGAGTCTAGCCTATCCTAAACCTTTGACTAACTTCTGTGTAACTTATCAGGAACTTCTCTCCAATGCATATCAACGTATCTGACGTGTTCCAGACGAGCGCTGAACATTTCTAACGTCCAGCTACTGTATAATGGCGTATTGGCAGCGTTTTGGTATAAAGGAGGAAACCATGAGTTCTCCTCCAGACTTCATCCCCATCATAGGGTGAGCCAGAAGGTGAGGGTGATGGATCCTCCCTGCGTTCACGACCACCACCAACAAACTTCCTAGCAGACATGACGCTCAATCTGCTGCCACCAAAAACCTTCTTTCTTTTTCTTTTTTTTTGGCTGGCGGTAAACAGCAGCTACTGTAGGTTTATACTGCGATCAAAGACATCTTTTTATGCAGACCGGTCACATCCGGGCGCATCGCTGCCCCCTTCAGGACACTGGCTTGGTCATTATTTCATGGGCATTACGCTGCCGTGCGTTATGCAGAAGTTAGGCTGCTGTTGGACAGAAGTTCTGGACTCGCTATGAATACTCTAGACCAGAAGTCATGGATTAGCGGCAGCGGTCCGGATCTGGACCCAACCTGATTTACAATATTTATAATTTACTGCATGTTGTCCGATGGCAGTGTCTAACTTCAATTGCTTGCTTCTCCTGTTAATACGGTAAAGCCCTCCAGAGCGTCCGGCTTCAGCCTGCACGTGATCCAAATTAGCCAAGAAAGAGAGCAGAGAAAGTGTGGACTGCTGGAAGAACTGTGGTGAACTGGTGAAAGAAAAGTGAAATGGTGCTCAAAGATGACCCTGCACATTTAGAAGATGTTTGGCTCAACCTGCTGCTGTGAAGCAGGATTCTCCACCATGAACAGAATCAACAATAAATCTGGATCCAGGCTCAAAATGAGCTCCTTGCTATGTGCTTTAGAACGGCTTAGTCTCCATTAAACCCAGGTTTAAAGCCTTGCAGGGCAGCATAAAGCCCACTGCCAACATTAAGACAGAAAAAAGAAAGAAAAAACAGTCAGTTCAGGTGTTTGAGAAAATATGGGAATCAAGAAATTGTCTTCATACCAAACTGAATGATTGTTGTTCTCTAATTCAAAAACAATCTAGATTTTAAAATGGAAATTTTTTTAATTTTTTTATAAAAATTCAATGTATACATGGATGCATAAACACCTCATTTTAACAGATTAGAATTAAAAATGTCTCCGGACCTTTACTGGTTGATGATTTTCTTTATTCTGACCCGCTGATTTTTGATTGGTTACCCCTGCTCTATGTATGCGCCAAAAATAGGAAAAACTCCATAGAAAGTTCAGCGTATGCCAGCGTTTTATTAGTTTCTGGGACGTCGGGAAGACGCTGGATAAATCAGCAAGATGTAACAGGAGCCATCAGGTTGAAGTACGGCTGTAATAATCGATTATTGAAATAATTTAGTAATAGATTGATCATTGACTGGAGTATAAAGACTCTAAAACAGGTCTTTAGCTGACAGAACGACCCATTTAGAGCAGTTAAATATATCAAATTTAAAAAAATATATATATAAACATTTTGCATTTAAGTGGAAAAGATTCACCTGATTTCATTTCACTAAAAATCTTCTTTAAGGAACCTTTGGCTACCTGATTATTATTCGATTAAAAATCTATTAAAAAATAATGTTTAGTTGCGGCCGTAGATTGATGTGACGCCAACGCCTGCAGCTTACGTTCTCTCCAGCCGTGGGAGGAAGCGTCCCGCCCGCCGTCCCGCCCTCTCCTGGGAGGACCGTGGCTCCTCCCATCCTCCGCTCCTTCCCCACCCTGACCGGCTCCGACTCGTCTTCCCTCCAGACGGCCTTCAGTCCGAGTCCCGGGACCTGGAGACGAGTGCAGATAAACGCTGCTGCTGTGGAAGCCGTTGGACTTGACAGCCTGTGGCAGACGGAGGGTTTAGGAACTGCTGCATCTCGCCGTTTGCACCAAGCTTTTTACACATGGAAGGAACCAGAATACCTTGAAGCTGCTCAGCTGCTCCACTGAGTCCACAGAGTCGCAGAAGATTTCACTCTCCGAGTCGCTGGTCACAGCCAGACCTTCAGACGCCCCAGAATCTGCAGCAGAACATCAGAAACTAGAGCGATGAGTTCAAATCTGTTACGTTGGGAGGAACCGCAGAGGCTGCAGGCTTTGCTTTGTGGAGCGGAGCAGGGCGTTTAAGGAGGATGTGGGATATCAGGGTTATGAACACACCTTGTGGGGGGCGGGCCTCACCAGGAGCCCTCAGCTGCGGGTCTGGACCACCTCCTTCCAAACGCTCCGGCTCCTTTCCTCCCTCCGTGTCACCCTGCTGACTGCCTTTAGAGCCTGCAACGAGACGCCGTGTAAAATGAACATTTTCAGCCTGTTTTATTCTGGACGTCCCATCAGAACCGAGCTCTCTTCTAAGCCCACACCCTGAACTGGACCAGTCAGAACCAACCCACCTTCAGCGAGGTCAAACAGCGACGCCGGAGGCCGGGGCATGTCATCAATGACCCTGTAGAGAGGCTCGAAGTGTCGGAAGGCCCCCGCCGCCGTTTGGTCCATGGGCATGGTGTTGATGACCTGCATGGATCCACCGGACAAAACAAACATGCTTTTAATAATACTGGAGCAAATTTCTCTCCGTACAGATCAGAAAGCATGAAAGATCTCCTTTACTGGAGAAACCAGAAGCTACCAGCCTACAGAAATATGACGGCAACATAAAAAGATTTGTTTAAATCGTGGGATCTGCCACAAAAAAGAAAAATTAAAATATTTGGTTAACTTAAAAAAAAAAAAAATCTCCACATTCTCCTATAGCAGGGATCAGCAACCCGCGGCTCTTTGATGCCCGCTTGTGGCTCACTGGAGCTTTTTCATTTTTTTCTTCTTTTAAATATATGAAAATGTTTGTTTTAACATGGCGTGCAGGAGGTCAAACAAACATTCATTATGTTTCCAATCCTGTAAAAATGTGTATAACAAACAAACTGTCAGAAATAGCATTGAATTCCAGGCTTTATAGAGTGGATCAACAACGTTCGTCCGTTTCTATTTGCATGTTTTCTAAACCAAAACAAGGCTTTGTTGGGCTGATGGATAAAACCCAGCAGCAGCTGCCTCAGGCCCGCTCATCTCTTGGGGGTTTCCTCTACTGTTAATGCTGGCTGAAAGTAGATGTTAGCTTTTTTTAGGTCTGTGCTACAAACTGCAGGCAGCAGGATAATAAAAGCGAACATATGCTGCCGGCAGGTTTCTACATTTTAAGTTAATTTAGGCGTTAATAAGCTGTTTCAGAGGAGTGATCATAGCGCTCTGTCTCCCTGCCAGCTCCCAGATCAGCTTCTCTGATTGGTTGATGCGACGCGTCCAGCAGCTAAAGTTAAATTTTTCAATCTCATGCGACGCGCTGTTCCTGCTGCTCAAAATGTGCTGCGGGACATTTTGCTTCGCCTTGACGCATGTCAACCATTGACTTTGCATGTAAACTAGCTGCTCCTGCTGCTTTTGGTCTGAACGCAGCATAACACTTGCTAACACTGGCAAAAAGCTTGCTGGCCAGTGGCGACCATGACTTCTTTGTCAGAAAGATGTCTTTGGTGTAGACACTTGTCAATCAAACATATTTGACCAATCGGTCTGTGACAGTGTACGTCACTTCCGCAAAAGCGCAATTCATTTAGGGTAGTTAGCGCCATTTCTGTGGTGAAGAGACAGCAGCAACGAAGAAAAGAAAACTAACAGAGAGCAGATGTGTTCTAGTTGCTTCTTTGGAAATAATGGGACACTGTTGCTGCGTCAAAGGATGCAACAGTAGTTCTAAACAGAAAACAGCAGATGGTGCCTTACGGTTTTTCGTATTCCCCACTTGGAAAAAAAATACGGACCGCAGACAGAGGACTTAACAAAGAGGCGTCGGGCTCCGTGGGTCGCTGCTGTAAGAAGGAAAGACATCACGTTTCATAAAATATCTCCTCATGTTCGTGTTTGCTCTCGGCATTTTCACAAAGGTAAGTCCTTATAAATATACACTAATAGAAATCAACACGCTGAAATGGTTTGCTTATAAAGTTGCAGGAGTTCATGTAAACCTACTGAAACATGCTGTGGAAGAGAAGCGGAAAGTGATGTTTGTTTTGTTTATTTCTTTTTTAGACTGCTAAAATTTAATAAATAATGCATTCTCTGTGTATAATCATTTACACAATCTGCAATACAAATATATGTTTTTTATGAATAAATTTATATATAAATACAGTGTACATATAAAAACACTGTACATACCCACTCGTCAGCCAACTCAGTGCATTTATTCATCCTGTGCAATCTACTTAAGTTTATTTATTATAATCCTTTGTTCGTCTCTAAGCTTTTCAGTTTATTTATTTACCTCTGGCCTTACTAGTCCGATGTACTTGTGCTGTTTCGGTATAGCAAATTTCCCCACTGTGGGAAACATAAGGTTATCTTATTTTATTACACATGTAATCTAATGATCTCTGTTATTAAGGTGCTTTCTATGGTGTTTTGAATAGATGTGTAAAACACTCAACCTTTCATCTACTTTGCAGGTCAACCCGCATATGAGATGATGGAGACTGACCCAGACTGGGCTCCATCCCTGCATCTGGGCCACACTGACATCAAACCAACAGACACAGAACGCTCTTTAAGACGTGGTTATCGGGAACAGCTGAAAAAGAATGCCCTGCAAGCAACTGAAACGGGGCTCCATCAGGCTGATGAAATCCTTCAGCGACAGGATGAAGTTACACATGAGGCGACAGAGAACCCTAACCAGCAACAGACTGACACGCAGAAGGCTGCTGAAAACGTTGGCCGGCCAAACACCAAGGATGACACAGAAGGTGGTCGTCAGGAAGGACAGACAGAATGTAACCTGTGTGTGCTCAGGTGTGCAGAGATGAACCATCTTTTGGAAGAAAGCAGAGAGCTGCGGCGTGAACTTGATGAGCTGCAGATCTCTGATGGCTTCTTTGGAGACAGTAATGAAAAAGTCCAGTACTATACGGGTCTACCAAACTTGGCAACCTTTATGGCTTTGTTTAATTTTATGCTGCCTCTCATGTCTGCTCAAAATAAAATTCTCAGTCCATTTCAAATGCTCTGTTAACCTTCATGCGTCTGAGATTGGATCTGCCCTCCCAACACCTTGCTTATCTCTTCCGTGTTTCACCAAAGACTGTGTACAGAACATTCAATAAAATGCTGTCATTTTTATATGCAAATCTAAAGCGTGCAATTGTGTGGCCAGATAGAGACACCTTGCACAAAATTATGCCTCATCAGTTTGTGGAGGCCTTTGGACATAGTCACAGTGATTATTGACTGTTTTGAAATTTTAACAGAGAAACCAGCTAATAAATGAATGCCAGATCAAGTACTGTTTCAACTTTATTCTTCTTTTTTTATTCTTCTTTTCACACAAATAGAATTTTGCTTTTTTTAAAGTTACTTTTGAAAAATAACAGCAAAACAAATATAAGTTTCACCATCACTTCAAATATTAACAATGTTTCTGAGGTTGTAAAAATGTGTGTACAATAAAGAGTGGATTTGAAATTTGAAACAAGTGTTATTATCTTTTCAATCAAGCAGAGGATTTATGAAAATGCAATACAAAATCTCAAATACATAAATAATGCAGAACAGTGCAAAGCTTCAAATGTTTTACTTTGTCTTCCTCCCTCGTATATAGCAGATTGCTCTTTAGATTAAATTAGAAGATTTTCATTTTCCCTGGACTTGTTTTCACTGTGGCCTTCCTTAGAGATATGGCCTAACATGTGATATCTGTAAAGAAGACTGCAGATCTGTGAAAACAGGCCTGGATAAAGTGAACAGCAAATACAGTGTGCAACTTATCAATGTGCAAGTAATCAATGTGCAAATTATGACAAGTTTTTTCATTCAGTCTGATGAGCAGCACAAACTGCTCTAATAACTGCAGCTATAAGTGCAACTGCCCACAACATCTGCCTTGTCACTGTAATAATAATATATAATATCGTTCCCTAGCAGCTTTAGAAAGTTTGTCTGGGTAGGGTATCTGTTCAGTTTTCTTGTTCTTTTCCATTTAACTGATAATCCTCACTGCTGGCAGCGCTCTCCTCTTGTTTTCTGCTGTTTTGTTTTTCTTCCGCTCACCACAAAAATGGCGCTAGGGGGCGTGTCAGTCACGTGTCTGACAAAGACCGATAGATAAGCACCCGCCCACTGCGGAACGTTTGTGTCAAAATTATTCAGTCACAAAAATTTGAACATCAAAACTTTTTGCACTTCAAAAAAAAGGTTTGATTCAAATAAAACAATTTGAACTTTTTTCACTTAAAAAAAAATTATTCATAGGGTAATTTTTTTTTGTTTGTTTTGTTTTGTTTTTTTGCATTTGCACAGTTTTTTTCTTTTATTTATTTATTTATTTTTTTTTTTATTGAAACAACTTTTTTGGGAATTGAATGATTAAGACACAAATGTCCTACCCATGTATGGCCCAATCACAAAATAGATCCCTTAACCAAAGAGAACATTTTCAACAATAAAAAAAAGTGTTCAAATGCAATTTTTTGAGTCTCAAATGTTTTATTTGCATTCAGAAATAGTTTTCGAATTTTTTTAATGCAAATTTTTGAATGATTTATCTTTTCATTGAAGTTACTTTTTTTATTGATTCTGTTCTTTGCTTGTTTGTTTGAAGCAACTTCTTTTTTTGATTGAATAATAAAGACACAAATGTCCTACCCATTACCTACCCATTATATGGTCCAATAAAAAAAATCAATGTTACTTCAATTAAAAAAGTTGCTTTAAACAAAAAAGACTGGACTTCTATCAAATAAAACATTTTCAATCAAAGAAAAGCAGTGTTCAAATTGATTTTTTTTTGAGTCTCAAATATATTTTTAATATTTAAATACTTTTTTTCTTTGATTGAAAAGTTTTTTTTTTTTCATTGAAGTGAAGATTTTTTTAATTGGAAATATATTTTTTGATTAAAGCAACCTTTTTTGATTAAATAATAAAGAAACAAATCTACCTTCATACATAACTTCCTGACAATAACAAAGACACATCTATATTAAACATTGTTTCAATCATCAGAAGTTGCTCATAATTTAAAGAAAAATTTAACAGGTTTTCTAAATTATGCTTTTTTTGAAGCTATAAAGAAACTCTAGGACTAAAAGGTCTACAATGTCTCTCAGCTTTAATGCTTTATTAAGAATAAACAAACGGTTCATAATATCCTGCCTTATCTACTCTTCTCATTGCTTTTTTTTGTAAGTTTATAAACTTTTACTTCAATAATTTAGATTAAATCTTCTAACCCTGAAGCTGCATCTCCTGGATCATCTCTGAATGTTCAGCTCGACCCGTAAACGATCAGGTTTACCTCTTGTGCTACTTTCTTCATCTCCTCCACATATGCTGCCATGGCGGTCTCCTGACTCATCTCCCCGAGGCGACTCCACGCATCCCTGGAACGACCAAAGAAAAATGGTTTAAAAACAGTGGAGCTGCGTTCGACCATCAGGCAGGAGGAAAGCCTCAGAGCCGAGACGTCGGACAGATTCTGTGGGCCGAGAGAAAAACGCCTCCATGCGCAGTCAGATAAAGAGTTATGATAAAAACAATGAGGCTGTAAAGGTGTTAGGCTGAGATTGAAAGGAGATCATAGTTTATTATACTGCAGTTAATATTTGCTGAAGCTGAGCGTTAAACTGAAACCTTCAGGGTCCAAAGCTCCATACTGACCACTTGTAGCGGCCCACTGGGTCCCAGAACCCGGGCCGGGGTGCCTTGCATGGTCCACACACAGCCTGCTTGTACAGACTGTAGAAACGCAGCATCACCTCATAAGAAGGCCTGTAGGAGCCTGTAGAGAAGCAGAAAAACAACGTTTCTTTCTTTATTTACACACTTGGATATTTCCAGAAAAAGTCTGATCATACAGACGGATTCTACCATTTCAGCCTAACTCTAGTTTTACAACTATTCAGACACATTCAGCTCATTTTCACAGTTTAAAGCACATTAATGCGGGCAGGGGCGGACTTAGTAAATGTGGGGCCCTAGGTTAAGACAGGCAGGGGGCCCTCTGAACTGAGAACACATCACATAAAGCAGACCCATTCTACAGATAGAGAAATGTTAATAGAATAGACATCCATTATTTGTTCTAGGTTGTGTCCCTCTCTTCTTGTCCCTTTTCTTCTTGTTTTCCTCTCTATGTTTTGTACTCAGCTGACTTTTCATGCTGTCTCTAAAGGAATGAAAGATTTTTTCCAAGCACTAAGCTCACTTAGCTGATTGCTCCTTCCTGTGTTTCCAAAAAGGCCAAAGTAAATAACCCAGTCCTTCTTTTCACTGTAGACAAGCCATGATCTGCTTCTCTGTTCTCCATTTTTCATTTGGATGAAATAATAGCTGCATGAATCATGACAGCAGACAAGATAGAGGAGAGCAGGAGGCGGGGTTACCAATCTACTGGCTCTGGAGAGCAGAGTTCGCTGCTTTTAGATGTTGTCTCCAAAGTCTCCAGTAGCAGAAAAAAGTCGCTAGATTTGGCGCTAGGAGCTTTTTAGAAATCAAAGTGCTAGAGGGGTCTGAAAAGTGGCTAAATATAGCGACTAAAGCGCTAAGTTGGCAACACTGCTCTTTGCATGGTTTGTTTTTAAAAGGTTTGCTGCTGTCTGTTTGGACCTTTCTGAACATGTGCAGCAAATGGACTGATCCAATATGGTGGACACTGAAGGGGGGGCTGAGACACAGGGCGTTTCTCAATATGCGTTCTTGAGCGTTCTCGTGTGCTCGTGTACTCGTGACACGTCATCAGCCTCAGCCCGAGTACCGTTCCAATTCTCTAGAACGCCAGATCGAGAACGCATCAAATCCCCGGATGTTGTTCTCGCCCCGCCCTCTTTATCGAGCATCCATCAGAGCAGACTTGAGCGTTCTTCAGACTGACCGCTTCCCCAGAATGCCCCGCGGCCGCAGCTTGATTCGAGACAGCGCTCACAGTGTTAAGTTAAACATTCCCTTTTCTGCTGCTGTTGTTCTTCAAAAGTACGTTTTGAAATCGTTTGAGGCGATAACATTATACATCGAAGCCTCCCTGTGTGGCCTGTTTACAGAGTTAGTGCAAAATAAAAAAAAAAAGTCTGACGTTGAGCGGACCAGAGTGACCAGCAGACCTCCGAGGGTAACCGCAGCCAGGGCTAATGTTACCCCGTCTGTAGTGCACTTCTCTCGGTCTAGTTATGTGTGAACTACCGCTCGTTCTGATGGCGTTTTTTTGCGGTTCTGTAATTTTTTTAAATGTTTTTTAAGCTTTAGAAATTAAAAATATTGTTTTCAAAATGTTTTGTGTAGGGAATAAATAGTTTTGACTGTTAAAGAAATGCTAAACAACGTTGCATGTGATGACGTCACGAGTACGCTTCTGCTCCAATACACATACGTGCTTGCGTGCTCGCGTTCTCGTCAAGTCCGATCTTCCTGCGTTCTCGCCAAGAACAGACTTGACGAGAACGCGAGTACGTACTCGCGTTCTCGTGAATTGAGAAACGCCCACAGTTAATATTATCAGTGTTCTGATGGAATTTTAGCCAAAGGATTTTTATCAAAAACATAATTAATGTGCACAAATAAGGAATAGCTGTATTAATCATACATGTAAACAGTTTTATGGGGCCCCCATGAACTTGGGGCCCTAGGCGACTGACTAGTATTGCATAATGTTAATTTCTCCATCTGTATAATGGGTCTGTTTTATGTGTCGTCTTCTCATTCAGGCCCCCTGCCTGTCTTTGCCTCGGGCCCCAAATTTCCTAAATCAATTCAGTTTATTCTGTCCAATCAGCTGCCTGTAGTGTCTTTAAATGTCCAGCAGGTGTCAATATTCTGTGAGACAGTATCAATATAGTTTGGCATCAATGTGCCTCATTAATCACTAGCGTTTTATTTTTCATTGTTTTATAACCAAGTCTCCCTCATTAGTTACTAATTGTGACTCAGGGCTGCTGAGGAGGAGCAACAGGAGCAGCTGTACCGGTTTTAGGCAGGTTATGGATCACATCCACTGCTGCCTGGAAGCGCCGCTGATGATCCACCGCAGCCATGGCCAAGACCGGCATGGTCCCAGCTACCAGGACCTGAGGGGACAGGGGGGGACACGGGGGGGACAGGTTGGTCAAAACGGCACAGGGACTCCTGACGGGTCTGACCCTTATCAGCTGCTCCACCATCAGGTCTCCACCTGCCGCAGCTGAGCCTCACTAAGCCGGAAGTGGTCCTACCTCTGCGACGGTCCTTCCGGTCTCATTCCCTCAGGTGTCTTCAGTTTTAAAAAATCTGCAGTTTCACAGTTTCTCCTGGAAATGAATCCGCTACGTTCGGTCTGAAAGTCACACGACACTTCCGCGTTGGTCACGTGACACGTTACCAGGTCACGTGGTTCTTTTAAAGCTACACTGGAGAAAACGAGCAGATAAAAAAAATCATTATTACTTTAAAGGTCAAAGTTATGTCTTTAATTCTCATAATTATGATAAAATATTTACATTTTGCTCTTTTTGGCTGATATGGGCTTCCATAATAAAACTCATTATTATTAATGATTCAGATATAACTAGTCAGATTTTATATGACAAAATAAATCCTATTGACCTTGTATGGTTTGTGCAGACATTTATATCGTACTCCCCCATGAAGGGCCAGCAGATTCTGCAACAGCTTCTTCCCCGCCACATTTGTTACTTCAGTAGAAGTATAGATACTGCAGTTTAAAAACACTTGAAGTATCAACTTGACCTCTTTACTCAAGTAAAAGTGAAAAAGTATGTGCTCCAAAAACTACTTAAAGTATAAAAGTATAAAGTAACCTTAAAAAAAAAACAGCCAGATGCCGCTATATGAATTTTAAAGCTCAATTTTTGACTATCTCTAAAAACTCTATGAAATAGGGCCAAGGATGATGGAGGTCTTGTTGGTCTCCGTCTCCATCTCTCGATACGCTCTCTCCTGTGTCCGACCTTTCAGACATTTCAACATCTTTTTCTGAATTCTCCATTGTAGCATAGTATAGACAATTCACGTTAGCAGTTTGAAGAACACCTTCTTGCTTCTGATGATTTCCTTTAGCTAACCAATGAGTGTTTGCATTATATGACTCATCCAATTACACTAGTTTTCACTAGATGTGGATGGAGCCAATGATCTGCATTGGATGGAGCACATGACATGAAATAATTATTTAGAAACATTAAACCGAAGCCAAGAGTAACGAGTAACGTTTGTTTTAAAAATGTAAGAAATAGAAAGCACAGATACTTATGTGAAAATGTGACGAGTAGAAATCAGAAGTAGGTAGAAAAATAAGTAATGGAGTAAAGTATAGATATGTAAAAAGTGTACTTAAGTACAGTAACAAAGTCTTTGTACTTTTTACCTGAAAGCTCTGGAATTTAGCACTTTTTAAAATACATTTATCTGACTTATAAAAATGTTGAGAGAGGGAGTGATTAAAAAAAAAAAAAAACATTGATGAATAAAAGGCTAATAAAAATTTTTTAAATTGTTATCGGAAGATCAACCTAAACTAAAAGATCCATCCATCCATTTTCTCCCGCTTAGGCCTCGTTAGGGTCACAGAGCAGCTGGTGTCTCTGTGCTAGAGGCGGGGTCCATCCTGGACAGGTCATCAATCTGTGCAGGGCAACACAGAGACACACAGCCACGCAAACACACACCTAAGGAGGATTTAGAGAAGCCAATTAAGCTAACAGTCATGTTTTTAGACTGTGGGAGGAAGCCGGAGTACCCGGAGAGAACCCACGCATGCTCAGGGAGAACATGCAGACCCCATGCAGAAAGACCCCGGGCCAGGAATGAAACCCAGAACCTTCTTGCTGCAAGGCAGCATTGCTACCCACTTCACCACCATGTAGCCCTAAATTAAAAGAAAAAAAGAGGAATACAATTTTTAAATCAGATCCGGTTTAAAAATCTTTTCTAAAAACATTAATAATGTTGCACTGGAAAACGTGCATCGTTTCTAAATCACAAATTACACAGAATTTAGTGATTATGACTGATTTTAACCTCTTTCTTTTATTACCTTCATCAGTCATGGGTATTTACAGATCTAACTGTAAATCTAGAGTTTCTAGAAAAAAAGAAAGGAAATAAAGACGTTGTAGAACTCATTTATAAATATGATGGATATGTTAAAGCATATTTTAATGCTTGAAAAAATGTAATGTATCAAATTGTTGGCAAAAAGAAAAGTGTAGAATAAAAGGCTTTGGAGGGAAAATTGGATCCAAATTGGATTAATGAATTAGACCTTTATTAATTAAAGCTCCCTGATTTTACATAACCAGAAAGACAGGTATTTTATGACAGGTATTAAATACATATAAATTACAGAATTACAGTGTTAAAGAAGAAAATTCAAATGCAAATAGGATGATTGATTACTAATTTCATTTATGAGTCAAACAATGCAGCCACATTCTTAAAATGAAAAAGCATTTCTGGAAATGCTTTTTCATTTTCAAATTTTACATTTCAAATTTAATTTTGGTATGTGTTTGCTAGGGTACATTTTGAAAAATAAATCTCAAATGTCTTTTTCTTTTTCATTTTAATTAAGTAAAAGGATGAGCAATGTTGGGGAAGAAAATTAAAAAACAAATATGATGATTGATTACTAATTTCATTTATGAGTCAAACAATGCAGCCACATTCTTAAAATAAAAAAGGAATTCTGAAAATGCTTTTTCACTTTAAATATGGTAACGATTTGCTTACATAAGGTCAAACCATTAAAGTCTCTTATTTGCTCAGATTCCAGTTCATCCTTCAGATCTTTGCAGCAGAAGTCAGAAAGTAGAGCAGACATATTAATAGAACCACAGCAAACGTGATGAGGCTTACAGCTAATTTCATACGGGTTAATGGGTTCAAAAGGAAGGAAAGCCCGGATATAAAGGCTAAGAAGGGCACCAAACAATTATTAGCTGAAGCTTAAGCTCAGCGTTATAGGATTGCATCAATTTGACTGGATGATCTGGTGAACTGTAAAGTGCCTTGAGATGACATGTGTTGTGGAGCTATACAGTAGAAATAAACTGATGAGGAGGAAAAGGGAAAGAAGTGGTTAAAGAAATGGAAAGATGATGCAAAATGATGATCGTTCTTTTCAGTCATGACCAGATTACATAAATTGAGGCGAGGGTCGGAATGTAGACTGACTGGGAAACTGAGACCTTTGCCTTTTGGCTCTGCTCTCTCTTAATGACATAGAAACAATAAAAAACAGCTGAATTTGTTTAACTTTCTTTTACATTTGTGTGTATCCTTCATAGCAATATATTCAAATATATAAATTTTATAAAATGGAAGCAATAGGCGTCGGATTATTGCGAGGAGATATTTCAGGAGAAACTGTTATTTTCTTTAAAATCAATGCCACATGTTAGCAGATGGTCCAAAGTATAAAGGTCAGCATGCATGAGACTATGCGTATTTTGAGCAAAGCTAATCCATTTAAAATGGCATTAAAGGCTGCATTTAAGATGTCAAATTCAATTTTGCAACAGTAATTATCTTTTTCAGTATTTAACACAAAATCATTTAGGAGGTTTGAGAACTGATCTTTAAATCCTGAGTAAAGGTTTGGTAGATGATACAAATTTAAAATGAGAATTTGTTTTGTTGTTTTACAATTTGGATGGTGGAAACTAAAAGGGCTAAATCTTTAAAAGGACTATAACTTTTAACAGTCCTTGGACTAATCAATAAATCAGACCGAAAGATTGTTGCTACTTCTCCTCTTTGCCCAGAATCTCTGGGCCGGTTAAAAATGAAATAACTAGAAGGAGCTGATTCATTTATGCTCATCTAAAACTCTTGCTGCAGCCAGGTTTCTGTAAGATCAACATAGATCAGTTTGATTATCACAAATCAAGTCATGAAGCACGACTGCATGCGCCATCAGCTCATCTGTGCATCCAGTTGTACATCTGGGTCGTCCTCGATTTTATTTTGTTAGAAATACCTAAATGACGTTTTCCATCCCCAAAAATAGTAAATGTACTCAAATAAAATGTGTTAAAGGTTAATCATATAAAAGAAGATGCCTTAAAATCCTTTCTGTTTTACCCCTCTGTGCCTGATCTGCACCAGAAATGGGATGCTACGCTACATCCGGTCGCTAACTTTTTCAGCATTGGATTTAAACATAAATCTAATCTTTTTGAGTTTTATGTTTTCGTTTTAACCATATGGTATATAGCGCGTAATCTAAAGAAAGAAACAACTAAAATGCAGATAAACATGGTTTAATCATATTTTGCCGGACTGCTCTGAGCATGTCCCATGATGACGTCAGAGAAGCAGTTTAATGAAGAAAATGTAAAAAAAACATAAACATTGTCTCACAAAAGTCATAAAACATTTTTTTACAGATGTGTATTAGCTTTCTTTAGTGAGTAAAGCATAGAAATAAGTAGTTTTAGTACTATAATTACAGTATTTATGGACACCTGGATGTGTATCTATTGGCGCATGCGCAGAACGGATCGGGTAGCTACAGGGCTGCTCCGTGCTCAGAGGAAAAAGGGAAATTCTGTTTAGTATCATCCAAGTCTGTGAATAGTTCTGTCTACAATTAATGAAAATAGTTGTTTTAATGGTTATTGAGGCAGATATCTGGCGGTTAATGTTTGATTTATCTAAAGGTTTTTATCTGTTGCTGTGTAAATGGGTTTGGCTGTAATTTAAGGACAGATTCTATTATATCTACAGTGTGGGGAATATAAATCTGATAGGAGTTTTATTTCTTAATTGCTGTTTTGCACAATTTGCCTAACTGTTTTATGTTAAATTTTAAAATGTTAACAAATTTTAGTTTTATATTAAATAAAATATATTTTCAGATATATTTTTATACATAGATTATTTAGATTTAATTCTATCTTTCTACCACTTTTATATAATTACATTTCCTTTTATTTGTTCATCTTCCCAGTTGTTGTCACCTTTATTCCACTCTGTATTCTTATGAGTCTAGTCTTTACTTTACAATAATAAAAAAAATGTTTGTAAAAAGAAACAGTTTTGAAAAGTCCAGCATCCATTGTTTTTCCTGCTTTGTGTGTAAACTCATACGGGTGGTGAAAGCCGCGGAAGGCTGGAACTGTTTGAATCCACAGCCAAAATTCTTCCAGTCTCCTTATTTTCAAGGACCTAAAAGGAACCAGTCCATGTAGACCGGATCCTTGGAAGACACAGCCCATAAATTCAATTCAGCCAGAGTTTTGGAGAACTACAGTACATCCACATATGTGTATGACACATTTATCAAAATCCAGCTAAAAGAAGTGGAATCTTTCACAAGACACATCATCTCAGTGGACCTCAAAATCAAGTTCGGCAGGGAGGACGCCAACGACA